GAAAATTTAAAAGATTCTTATAATTTATGCAATGAAATTGAACCTTGTCTTTAGCATCCTTTAATGACAAATCTGTAGGAATAAAGACATTAGGCGCTGGTAAATGCAGATTTACATCAGGAGCAGACTGCACCCATTCCTGTAATTATTTTACATAAACCCACAAATTTATCAAAGAACAAAATTTGTTCTAACAAGACTTGAAGTGGAGGTAGTAGTCGCATAGAAAATAAATGAATCATTTCGAGCTAATATAACGCATCAAAAAGTAAACCTGAATGGTGGAAATGGTTATCTTCTCAAGAGAATAGGCAGTGTTATACCAAGGCTCCGCCTTGTCAGTAAGTCCTTCAAATTTCTGTGATTCCCAAAAAATTCTACAAAAAAGCAATGGAATTAGCAAAATTCTTTGAAATTCCAGTGCTTTAAATAGTAAACTCTGATAACTTGACGTAAAAGGTAAAAGTAAACTCCAGAAAAACAAAAGGGAATAGTACATAAATTAGCCATCATATATATCAATAGCAATAAAAGCCTCAAGTGCCATCCTCATTTATTTTTCAGAATAAATAGAAAAAAAAAATGTAAAGTTAGCTTAGGCGAAGACCACAATTTCACCATAACTTTAATGTATGCAAAGTAAAACTCTTAACCACAGCCTTACCGAACTTTACTAGGAGAAAGCTCATCGACAACTTTTTGTAGAATCGCTGGATTAAATTTCGTAGGCAATGATGATCCAACCAGCCAATCCTTGGTCGGATATATCTGAAGAGTAATAGCAAAGGATACAGAAGATTTTAAAAGAACTGTTATTTCTTAGCCATGAGCATAGGTTTGCGCTTTAATGATACAAATTACAAAACTTAAGTCACTTTTCCTAACTTTCATATGCACGATTTATTGAAGGAATGATTGATGCCATGGTAACAACAGCGGTAAGCATGTTTAAAAATAAAGCTTACACAAAAGCAAAGAGCTAAAATGATCACCTGCATGTTTGATGCAATATCCACTATATAGGACATTGGTGGTATTTTGTCTTGATAATGAAATTTCGTCTCACAAATAGCTGAGAGCTTTAATAGCAATAAACGATGTATTAGCAATATTAAAGTCAAAAGTAATAAAAACACAGTAAAAAAATGGGAAGATACAATCATAGCATATCAGTAGCAATATATAGAATGCTGTTGCATATCCATACCTCATCAAAAATCCACTGGCAAACACCAGTCTGTTGTAATAGCTGAATGTAGTTGAACAGCAGCCCTAAAATCTCTTGCATGTGCTCTGTAAACCCACCAAGGAGAAAACCCAGAAATTTATCATGTAGTTACCAAACACCAAACACACCCATACTTTCTATTCACACAAGTCATCAGAATACTGTTGTGAACTTCCTCGAATGAAAAAAAAAAAAAAAATAGAAAAGAAAAACCCACCATGGCCAGCATCGGTAAGATCAATTGAAACCTTGAAGAAAGAATAATCTAGAGTCCACTCTCCTTCACCAGCAGAAAGTCCCGTTGCCCAACCTGCAAGCAATAAGAAGAATTAAGCCAGACTACTAAATGTAGTAATCGAGCATGTTTCTTCAGGGAATAACATCAGCAACCTGTCCCAACCAAGAAGTTTGTTTACTTGACTAGGATGAAACTCTCTAAAAGACAAAGACGTCCACTTTCAATAAGTGGTTTTATAAAATCCTCCCATGCTACTCTATGAAAAAAGTAGTTAGGGCACCCCAGGCTACACTCCATGCCAAGATACCAGAAAAAAAAAGAAGATTTTATCTATACCAAATGAAACACCCACAGGTTGTTCTGAAGTAATTTTCTAATTATCTTTTAGGGAACCGAGTCTTGTCACATTTCAAGAGGGTAAGAGAAGGAGATTGAAGATTGAACTTGATGTGTGCCCAATAGAAAACCTACCCAAGGTTTTTAGGGCATGAAACAAACTTCCTTCACCCTCATGACCAATTAGATGCCCAAGGTACTGGCTTGGTGCTTCCTCGTAATGATGAATACTAGGAGTTACTGGCCATGAAACACCCAGCTTGTGTCCTTGCTTTATCGGAACAGCCTTCACAAGAATCTAAAACCAAAATAATACAATAGCACCGTAAACATTCTAGCATGATATATCTTCATTTCAAAATATAATTTAAATGTTCGGAAGGAAAAAATAACCTGCAAATGGTCATCAGTACATGGCTGGCCAGGAAATCTAGGGACAACTTTGTTGGTGTTTTGGATTTCCTGGAACATCCCTTCCACAAGATCTTGAATTTTATCAAGGCTTTCTGAAAACATTCAGAGCAAACCATTAGCACAGGTGTTACCTAATTAAACATTTTTATCTCCTTATAAAAGAAAATCTGAGTTTCGTGTTAGCACCAAAACATACCCTTCCCATAGACAACCAGATGCATGAGGTTGGCAGAATAATGTTCCTCATAGAATTTAATAAGCTCACTTCTTGTATCCACTCCTTTCGCTTGGGGTCGTACATGAAGTGTATCCATGTTCCCTAAGCACAAACCTCACTTGTTTAGCATGAGAAAGATATTGGAATCACAACTGACTATCTGTATTCATCAGAATAAATCTCTATCCATGAGTGGCAGTCAACAGTAATAACAGTAGGAAAATTATAACATATACCTGTGCTAAACTTGTGATACGGATGGTCTTCTTTGCTAAGATGCTTTTGTAACTGTTACGAAGAAAATGAAGAAAAATGAGTCATATACATAAAAATAACTCTGAATATTGTTTTTAAGACCAGAGATATACCTGTCGAATTCGCCAACCATCAGAGAGTAAGTTTTTTTGATTTTCTGGAGAAAGAAAACTCATTATAACCTGTTTAGTTCAAAAACTGCAGCAAGAAAAACGTAAAGAAAAATAAAATCGAGCAAACCTGAGTCAACAGCCTTAATTTCTCTCATCGTAGCATCAGCTGACATTAGTGGTTTGATAAAGAACTGAGCAAATCTGATTTAAGCAGCAACAAAAGAATCTTACACACGGAAAAACAAATGGTAAAAGATTAGAGAAGATTGTTATCAAGAGTAAAACAACACCAACTGTACCTGTCCAAAGCCTCAACGAAACAGTCAGCATTAACATCAAAATGGTAGTTTGTCTCTTCAGAGGCTGTATATGCATTTGTGCTACCTCCATGCTACATCAAGAAAAATCCATATCTATTATATCGAGTGAATAAAGAACAAAAACTTGGAGTATGTGTTGAGTACAAATCACAAAAATTGTATGGATATACATAATACCTCTGTGATGTACTTGGAGTAACTATCTTCCTGCGGATATTTTTCACTTGCATAAAATAGCATATGCTCTAACAACCAAAAATCCAATAGCAAACCATTATAACAAATTCACTCCATATTAAAACTAGATAGTTTAATCAATGAAAGATAGCACAGTGCTTGAATCATTCCATGGCAAATAACTATTGTGTACACGAATTAAGACGGTACAAATTTCAAAATCCTGAGAAACTCGACTTCTACATGAGACAGTAAAAAACTTGAAAATTTTAAAGTACCTAGGAAATGAGCAATCCCTTCTAATCCTTGTGGGTCAGAGAAGGATCCAACACTAACGCTCATTGAAGCAGCACACTTGAAGAAAAGAATCAAAGTATACGAATCAGTAAAAAACATAAAAAATCCAAAACTAAATACCACAATTCAAATCGTAGCGATCTCAAACCTTATCCGTATCGGGATCGCTGATCAACAGGACCTGGAGCAAGTTCTTCAGGACAATCATCCTATATTCCCTGCTGTCCGTACGTGGCTTCAGTATCTCAGCACCTTGCACCGTCGTGTTCGATTTCTCGACGGCCATCTTCGTTTCGATTAGGATTATGTTTCGTCTTCGGTGGGTCGTCTTCGCTCTTTACCTCACTTTTCCGGCGTCTATTCTTTTTTTTCTTCTGTGCTCAGACTCAGACAAATACAGAGGAATAGAGGAATTTATCTACTGTGCTAATGTCTACGTCTGAATATTATCGACGGTATACGTTTAGGCACGTCATCCGAATCCAACAGCCTACCACAAACAAACTTAAGTCATTTTTATATTATGAATATATTCCCATAAGAGCTATAGAAGAAGTCTTATTAATGTTGACCCTGTTTGTTATAAGTCTTTGTAAAAAAAATTACCTTCAAATAATGTTTTTATAGATCACACTTCAGTTTCAATCTGTCATATATTTTAGCAATACATGTATATGGAATTATGGACAAGTGATGATGTATATATATTATGTATGCCCGGCCCGCAGCAACTCCAGTGATATTGCTTGCTGCCAGTACCATCTCATATATCTTACTATCTTAGCATTACATACGTTAGACATTAACACATTGCAATAATGCATCACGAAATACTTCATATATACATTTATACATAAAAGCATCCCATCCTGTTTTTCGTTTGATTTTTTTTCCTTTATATGATTAATGAAATTATATAACTTACTTTATAAACCTAATATCGTCTTCAAAATTACGAGTATTTAAGATAAAAACTAACTGACAGTTAGTAAGAAGGTGCATGTATATATATTTTTGAGGAGGCACGGTCTCACTTCCCAATTCCCATGTGTAACATTAAAGAGCTCGTTATTGCTTTTTTTTTTTTCCTTTCTATTCGGAATACTTTGTGTCATCGATCAACCAAGTACAACTGCACAAATCATCACTTCTATGATCAAAAACTCTTGTGCAGGGGCTTACGGTAAACCGAGTACCACAAATACTAGCTAATATATCAATTAAATGACAACTCTACTAATTAAGTTGAAAACTCTTTCATCCTTCTCTTTTAATTTCATTTTACAGTTTCCATACATATTAGATATATTTCTGCGTCACTGGTATGAGTTACAAGATTAATGACGACGACAATAACAACAAAAATGTAGAGCAACCACAAATTTCTTACGTATAGAATATGATATGTCGTGTTTCTCTTCTTCTTATTGTAATAAAGAAAATATTCAGTCTCATAAGAATCCACAAATTGTTAATGGGCCGGGAGAACAACAACACTATCAAGAACAGGCCCACAAAGATGGCCGAAATCATGAAGCTTTGTATGATAAAACGCACTATAAAAGGTTAGCCTCGTTCGATTCGAATCGGCCACAAACCTGAAATGCCCCGTTTTGAACGCTCCCTTACCTTCTGACATAAAAGAAAGTTTAAATGGCTCTTTTCCCGCGAACGCTTCCACCATCATCGACCCGTGGCAGCCGTTTTGTGCATCGCCTACCGCGTATGAGAGCATGTATGCTTTACCAGCGATGGTACGGATGATCTGTGCGATTGCACTTTCTCTACCAGCAACGAGCTCAACGGCTGCTTGTCCGTAAGGAACTTTAAAATGACGCCTATCGATGTATTTCACCGGTTTGAGGGATTCAACGATCCATCCCGGAAGCGGGGAGATAAAATCTTGGATCCTTGCGGGAATCAAGATTCCGGTTGAGAAATTAGCGAAAACGTGTGGACCAACCTCGAAACCTCCATTTTTCACCAAGTTACCTAAGATGACAAAAACAAAAGTTGACCGGCTTAATATACACACAAAGCTAAAATATAAGGACCAAGTTGCAAAAACAAAAATAAAGTAAACCGGATATGTACCGGTTAATTGATTTACCTCTGGTATACCGGAGAGGAAGAATCTCCTTGATAGCGACAACATCTAAGAGAGGTCCACAGGTGCGGTCTTCTTGAACACCAGGGTTATGGAAAGTGACCTTAACCACATCGGACATTGCCTTGAAAGCCCAAGCGTAAGTGTCTCCACCATCTGAGCTAAATACGGTCTGGATGGGAAGCTCATTGGCTTGACCAGGCACAGAGACTTTGATATTCTCGTCCTGAGCGCAAGTTCTAGTGGCTCCGAACGTCAGAGAGTAGACTAAGCCACGCTTCACTTTCAAGTCCTGAGAGATGGTACCTAAGCTTCCTAATCTAACCGCGTGGACTCCACGTGGGACTGGAAAATAGAATCCTCCCGGCTGAGGTCCACCGGAGACTAGCTCCACGTGGCCGGCGATTTGCCAGTGAGGGAGAGAGTTAGCGCCGATTATTTGTCGACCCTTCATGTTTGATTTGAGAGGGGTTTGCTCAAAGTTTCCATTTGGAAGAAGCCCTATAGATATGGAAACCACAAATGTTAATTACAACTTCGTTCGTGCATGGGATAAATTGATCTATATAGAGATGAATATTACAACTTCAGTTGGTTATCTTACCGTCTAGATGAGGAATTCTACGTGGTCGGAGGCTGGGAGAGCCATGGCAGAGAGAGAGAAGGAGCAGAAAGCAAAGAGAGTGATAGATTGACATTTTAAAGTCTTATTAATTAGTTGGCCTATATCAAATGAGGCTCATGTGGGCTATATATAGCGGTTACACTGAGATTTTACAAACAACATAAAGAAACGAAGAGGAAGCAGCAGCATGTACATTTTTGGATATACACAATAATAAATTTGTTTATTTAAAGATGGTTTTTGTAGACGTAGACGAAGGGAAACTTGAGCCACGTTGAAGACCGCACCTTACGAGCCGCAATGTATGACTCACTGTCTGTCATGTTATTTCGATTATGAAAAGATCCAATACCATTTACTAATTAGTACTTTACAGGAGGCATCAGTTATATTTAGTGTGTGCAGTGCAGTGAGATACCACTAGATGTAGTTGGCTATAAATAAAATGAGGTTATCAGATGCGACGCTGAAAAATATGTGACGAACCTTCCAAGCACAGAGTTTTCTATAACAGATATAATACGAGTCGATTGGTAACGCAACACGAGCGACGATATCGATGTGATAATTAACAAAGTACAGTGGATATCATAGTATGTTGTTTAACTGATATGCTGGATTCAAATTGGTAGATGCACCCTGAATTAAACCGACCAAAATTGAAATTATTTCTGTTTAGCTATATAAGTTTACAACTGTACGTATATGTACATTGCATCATACGTAAGATTAGATGAAACATATATATTCACTTTTTGGTTTTTCTTTTTTTTTGGACAAAAACTTTTTGGTTCTTTTATATGCAATAGACTATGTAATATATTATTGTGTTTGTTTTAATAAAGCTTCACGTTTAACTTTAAATATTAAACCTTTAACGTTTAAACAAAGAAAACAGTCGGTGAGATTTACGATTAATAGCGCATGTGTGTGTGTACACATTACACAAGAGACATGAAACGCAGTCCACATATGGTCTCCGCTGATTAATCATTAATCATCGCCATGATTTGCTCTTTAAGTCAAATTTACGTCCATAGAAAATATATAAGCTTTTGATTTGACTTTTATTTGTGGTTTTAATCCTGAATCTAATTTTTTTAATATGTGATGTATTTGATCTACAGATCCACATATTTAAATTATCTTGTAAGACTGTTCTGTGTAGTATGCACTTTTTGTTAGCCAAATACTAAATGTAACAATACCAATGACTACATGTAATATTGGATCAATAAACATAAATATTTATATATTAAAATATGTTTACAGAAGTCTAGAAAATGTAATTGAAATCGAAACACCGACTTTATAATGTCTTAATTTCGACGAATAGAGAATGTAGTAGTATTTATTATACTTTATATAGTAGGATATATTATAAGTAATGAAATTAGATTTAACGGGCCAGGACAACCCTAACATTGTCAAGCACAGGCCCACAAAGATGTCCAAAATCATGAAGCTTGGTATGATAAAACCCACTATAGAACGTTATTCTCGTGCGGTTCGAATCGGCACGAAATGCGAAACGCCCCGCTTTGAACGCTCCTTGCCCATTTGAATCGAATTTTACTTTAAACGCCGCTTTTCCCGCAAACGCCTCAACCATCATCGATCCGTGACAACCGTTGTGTGCGTCTCCAACGACGAACGAGAGGATGTAGTTTCTACCGGCGACGGTACGGATGATCTGAGCGATTGCGCTTTCTCTCCCGGCGACGATCTCGATTGCTGCGAGACCTGATGGGACCTTGAAGTGGCGGTTGTCTATGTATTTGACCGGTTTTAGAGATTCGACGATCCATCCTGGAAGCGGTGAGATTAGGTCTTGTATCTTCGCCGGGATTAAGATTCCGGTAGAGAAGTTGCTGAATACGTGTGGACCGATCTCGAATCCGCCGTTTTTCACAAGGTTTCCTGATTAATATTCACGTAAACAAAACTAAAGTTAGGGGGTGAAAGAAAGAATAATTCAAATCTAAGGGCCAAATTGCAAACATTATAGTAGAAGAAATGTGTATGCGGGAGTTTTGGTTAAACCTGGGATCCAACTAAACCCGGTTTAATATAATGTACATCGGTTAATGAAAAAAACATTAAAATGCTAGCTAAAATAAGAACTAAGCCGAACCGGAATTGAAAGTTATATATATATATAGAGTACTACCTTTGTTATACCGGAGAGGAAGAATCTCCTTGATGGCAACAGCGTCAACGATAGGGCCACAAGTAGGGTCTTCTTGAACACCAGGATTATGGAATGTGACCTTAACCAAGTCAGACGTTGCTTTGAAAGCCCAAGCGTACGTATCACCACCATTGGTACTAAACAATGTTTGGATTGGGAGCTCATTGGTCTGACCGGGCACAGAGACTCTGATGTTCTCGTCTTGGGCACAAGTCCTAGTGACACCAAACGTTAGAGAATAGACCAGCCCACGCTTCACTTTCACATACTGAGATATCGATGCTAAGTTTCCTAGCCTAGCTGCGTGGACTCCACGTGGCACCGCGAAATAGAAACCACCGGGTTGTGGACCGCCGGAGACTAACTCTACGTGGCCGGAGATTTCCCAGCGGGGAAGGGAGTATTTGCCAATTATCTGCCTCTTTCTCATGTTTGATTTGTTAGGGATTTGCTCGAAGTTTCCATTTGGGAGAAGCCCTGTAAAAACATCATGAAAAGCCATTATTCATATTTACACCAAATGTGAAAACTATAATTTAATTTATGAATCTACTTGGTATTGGCGGAGTTGCTTATTACACCAATCTTACCACAATCTAATTTTTTTCGAAATACTATTCTCATTGTGTACATTAATATCCGTGACATATGATATCATAGTCGATGTTAAATATATATACTGTATATATTACTCCGGCAATGTTGAGTTTTATTGATGAAAAAAGTATACATTAGCTGTTTGAACGCCATATAATTTGGTTGATTGACTTAGTTAGATTTTGCTTTATATCCTAAAAGACCTATTAATTTTACAACACGTTATTAACAAAACCAAAAAATTACAACAAGTCAATTCCAAAACTTTACTTCCTAGAATTCTTAATACATACCAAAAGAAAACAAATAACATGCATCGACCTACATGATAATTTAGGCACTAACTATATTGGAGTGGTCTTACGTACCATCAAGATGAGGAGTCGTCCGTTGAGCAGGGAAGCTATGAGAACCATGGCAAAGAGAAGCAAGGAAGACCAAGCAAAGAGAGAGAACGAGAGACATCGTCGTGAATATACGCTAAAGTACTGACGCCCGACTAAACAAATCTATCAATTGCCACCTACTAAAGGGCATGCACAAGAGAGTTACTTATGCAATGGGGGTGGTGATATATGCACAAGTTCCTACTAGCTATATATAGCCGACCTACGTATTTTACGTCGTCTTTTGGAATCATTCAAGATAAAGATTAATGATGGAAAAAAATATATATATTAATGATGGAAGAACAATATAATAATGTTAATACGGCGATGCACCGTACGTATTAATACGAAGGTGGTGATAATAGCAAAATAAAGATAAGCAGGAGAGCACGTTGAATATATATCGCCACTAAATGAGCCGCAATGTTTGTGGTGTGTGGCCGTACTGTCCGTTCATGTTATTCATCATTCATCAAAAAGCCACTTGCTATTTGCTTTATCTTCAAATGTTGACATATAGTAATTAAACTACTATTCTTAAATTAATCATTCATTTTGCAAGTCTAATCGTGTCCGACGATTATAAACTGTTTCATTCAGCCAATTTTTTATTTTTTTTATCGATTACCAAGGTCAAAGAGTATACTAGTATTCATTGTAGACTTAAGTCTATGCATAAAGATCTTGTCTAAACAAATGAATTTTATGAATTTACATTACCGTGTAGAATCTATAGATCACAGAGAGATATAAAAGCTAACTTTCTACCAATATATGCATGAACTTATAATTAAAGTATCGAATATTGTTGGCTATATTGTCTGATAGACTGATACTGTACGTATATATATATGTGAATGACATACAAGAAATGGATTGTTAAAACACATTCTAAATCAGACTAACAACAAATTAACTACGACTTTTCTGTATCTACGTAAATTGAATCTCAAGCAAAATAGAGACAACTTTTCGGTTCTTTTGGGGATAATAACATTTTGACATGTTATCAACTAGGTTTGTTGGGATAATTAAATATGAGCAACTACTTGCGTCATTAATTACATGTGTAGCAACTTAGTTACGGATGCTCATGTGTCGGTACTAGTTACGTCATTAGTTACTCGGCGTGACTTGCGCTCCGAGTCAAATACTACTTGAAAACCAAATACCAAATACATGTTTTCCAAAGTAATAATAATGGAGAAACTTTTTTTTTTTTTTTTTTTTTTTTTTTTTTTTTTTTAATAATGGAGAAACTTGACAGCATACGTATACACACATACACATGAATATGCGCTCCTCTGTCCTTTTGGGTACAACTAACGATTTCAGGAAAAAAAAAAAAAAACCTGCCGTACAAAACTGTATAAATAATAAGCTAATAAAATTCGAATTATAGTGCGCAGATTATAATTTGGGACAACTAAAAAAGAAAGAGATGAAATGTATCTAGGGATATATTACCCATAACATTTGCGTAATTGTAGAACCGATGGTTCTTTTAGTGAATTATTTCGATTGAATCTTCATCGTATGATTATATATATAATCATATCAATTTATATGTCATAACTTTATTTTCAGCTATCTAGCGATCTACGACTTCTGTAGTGACACTAACCGGCTAGAGCTTTATTCCATTCTCATTAAGTTTATTTATACTTTGCTTTTTGTGAGTCAACGTTGGGCTGTCGACTTCCCATGTTCATATCTTCAAGGATTACATCTTATAACATTTATGGACACGAAAATGTGGATCCTATCATGTGAATTTTTATGATAAGTCAACGAGCTTTTTTTTTTGTAACCATATAATATTATCAGTCAACAACGAGGGATCAGCATGTGGATGATGAATTCTTCCAAGAAAAAGAAAGTATGAAGAATGTAATCTCCCTCCTCTTCATTAAACCCTACACCTAAATTAATATCCCATCCCTCAGCAAATACAACTCTAGCTTACCTAGCTTGTGCTCGTTCTCGTAGATCCTTCATAATAGGCATGCATGTATATATGCATCTAGTTTCACTGCCTCTGCAACTATAAAACGACAATGTTAGATCAACATCAATTATATATCTACGCTTTTTTCCATTTATATTGGTTTCAGGCTGATGAGATACATTTTTGGATGTGTACTCTTATTTTTCAGGGCATATGTCTTTTTTTTGGCACGTAGATCATGAGCATATGTCTTTTTTTCTTTTTCGAAAACAAGTGATCTCATCAGCCTGAAACCAATATAAATGGAAATATGAGAAAAGCTTAAACACAAAAATGAACTTAAGGAAACAAGAAAGAAATAAAGTATAATGACCATATGTAACTATAAGATTTGAGTTTCAAGAAATCTATATCTTTGATCGGAATTGGAGGAAGAACTTTGCCTTGTTGCTTCATGCTTGCGATGCGAACACTATAGGGTTTGTCTCGGCTTGATTTCCTGTGTCTAGCGCGACCCATTCATCGTCGTAAAGGAAAATAATCAAACGAGAAGCAGGAATTCTTGGTTTAGTAGGATTTTCGAATACAATCGTCTTATAATAATAATCTACATCAGGCCCATAAGTTTATAGTTGAGAACATTGAGGCCCAGACTATGAGCCCCGTTCCGTTTCGGTTCACTTTTTCTAAACGGGAAAATTGTAGTAGATTAGATCCATGGCCCTTGTGATCCTAAATTGTAAATTCCTAAGTTTGAAAATAGAATTTGTTGTTGTCTTTTTTTTTTTTTTTCATTATAAAGAAAATTAATGTTCTCACCAAAAAAGAAAAGAAAATGAATGTTGAAAAAGTGATAAGGGAAAAACAAAAGAAATGTCGATGAATTGCTTAAAAGAAGAGGGACAGACCATGATCCAAAGGTCATGATATGTGTCCGATAAAGCGAGAGCTAAAGTCTCAATCAATATTACTGCCAAAAACATATTTCTATGGAAATATATTTATAATCACTTTCTTTTGAAAAAGCAATAGCCAAAAAAAATAAAAATAAAAAGAATGATGAGAAATAATATAATCCAACAAAAAAGTGGGGATAGCTCTTTCCTTCAACCTTCCACATGCCCCATTTGGTACACTACAAGATGGACAGCCGAGTCCTGTCCTTTTGACGTTTCCTCTTTGTTCTCGTTTTTTTCTTCTAAACATATAATATATTTTCTATATATACAAGGGATACATACTAGTGAAATTAACTTGCTTGGTCTATATGTTAATTCAATATTAATTAATCAAAATACTGGTTAAACCACTGCAATAGTTATCATCTACTAATTCACATATATCATCTACTACCGTAACTTGAATCCATATGATTAACATACCGACATCACTAGCATAACAAACCACTATGTCTTTTCCTATTTTATAAAATCAATGTAAATAACTATAGAACATTGTACCTTTCATAATTATAAAGTTACATTATACAGATAAATAAATAGGAAGGTTTAGGAATTCATGGTTACAAAATGGATTTTGATGAGAAAAAAAATTCGAACATTTTCCACAGAACACTCATTCATATCGTACGGTTGGTAAAAGCTTAAACAAATATAGTGACTGAATAAAGGAGAACAATAATAGTAGTAGTAGTTTTGGTACGACACTTCACATATCCGTAATGATGTGAGCATAAATCTCGGCATAATCTACGTTTTAATTTGAGAGTTCGAAAGCAAAAGTCATGAATATGCACAAAATGATTACGCAGAAAGTCAGGTTCTGATATAAGTATGTAAAAGCATTCACAAGCTAATGACTTAGTTTTCATTGTAATCATTGGTTAACATATTCTTATAGTTATATAAACTATATATTAATGAAAGTTTAAAACAACAATTAAGTACACAATTCTCATTTCCCCTTCTTCACGAGTTTAAAGCGAGCTGCAGGTGCCTCCATCATTCTGTTTTCTCTATCTTTTTTTTTTTTCTTGCTACTCATGCATCTTATGATTTGTCTTTTAACTGATTCGTCTACTAAAAAATTATCTTTGCTGAAAGGTTTAAATTTATATGCATAAGTAGCATTCTCATATAGTGAAACATGTGAATGTTCAATCAGAAACAAACCCAATTAATTCTAAATGTACCGGGAAAAAATAGTAATCAATTATAGCTGAAATTATGAATATTTAGACTTCTTCTTTCTTCACTAGCATATATAAGCTAGCTCTTTGAAAAATTTCTAGCATGATAAAATATATAGTAAACAAAAAAAACAGAAGTTCATCGTTTTAGTGGTACAGTTTGAATCGTGAAAACTCACTTTAAGAAAAAGAAAGAAATCTAAGAAAGTATAAACCTAGCTTGCTAGCAAGAGTTAAAAAAAAAGTAACAAAATTGTAAGTAGGAATTTAAAAAGAAAAAAAACGATGGGACGGGGTGGTGGTGAGTGGTGGTGGTGGTGGTGGTCGGAGCAGACAGAGAAGGGTCCTACAATTCGCCTAACCGTAAAGAGCCACATTCCTTTTTCCCACTCTTTCTCCTTATTTTCTCAAAATCCCATATATAATTCTTTGCAGCCATCTTAATCTTATTAGTTCTACTCTCTATATATATATGTCGTATATTGTTTGTTTTAATTTATTATATATGATCTTGCTTATCCTTTGCTGACCAAATAATCTTAATTAGAGCTAGTAAATCTAGGTTTTCTCGGAACTCAAAACTCATCTTCTTTAGATTTTCTTCTTTTATTTTGGAATGCATGTTTTCTTTTATAGCTAGTTTGCCAACAAAGTACGTAAGTACAATTTGAGTATGAAATCTTCTCACCTATTATTCGAGTATTTGAATCTTTCTTTCGCTACTTTACATAAGTATCTATTTACCGAACTAGAGTTACTTTTTAATAGAGTTACTTATATATATCTGGTAAAGATATAGGATAAAGGAATCAAAATTTGTTTCAATGCATGATCATATAGATCACTGATATATACTCTTGCAACATCGAGCAGAAAACATGGTGTCATATAAACAACATTTCTTTGATATAATTTTACCAACTAGCTTGAAATGTACACCAGTACAAGAGAGTTTGAATCCACTTTAGCTTAGGTCTTTCGGATATATAAGTACCACAGTATTGTCCTCATAGCTTTCATGTGTAGCAAGTCAATGCTTAGTTAGTAACTGACTAGAGACATTCTAAATTACCAATACTTTTCACAACTATTAACTAACGGATTAAACCGGATAATTGAATCGGATTTCAAGTTGACTATCGAGTGTGTTGGCCAGACGTTAACCCAAAACCAAACTTCAACTAATTAATATCGAATAAAACGATTCATTCTCGAATATAATATAATTTATTATTAGTTTCTCCCACTATATAATGTAGTTTATGTACGTAATGATGTTTACTGTTGGGTTGTTCGTTATTAATAACACAACAATAAACATAAAAACCAGAACAATTGAAATTCTAAGTAGTCAAAGACACATTGATAAACACGTATTATATGATATGCCCGACATCGTTTTATGATGTTTTGAGGTTGTTTATTGAGGAACATCAGAAGCTTAAGACGCAACTTCGATATAGAAAAAAAAAATCCCAGTACAATTGCTATGTTTCAATTTTAATATGCAAGACATTTAATTTTGTCCTTAGAGAGAAAAAAAACATATAGAGATATAATCAAAAGATACTAATCTTGATGTTAGGGCCGGACATTTGAGAAAACATGTCTTCTACCAACAAGATTTGACAAATCGTTTATTACATAGTACTGTACTTATTGAGTATGCATGAGAGTATCTATCTAACAACAACAAAATTTACATTTAACACACAGTGTCTCTCCTCGATCGAGAGCGAATAATAATAATCTTACACTCCGTGTGATTTGTTAATCTTTATAGTATAATACGTAGTATATATATTCATGGACCATGAATGTCATCAAAATTTGGTAACTTCAAACATCGATCGTGGTTTCAAGTAATCAACAAAACACACCACACAAAAGTATATATTGACAATACTTTTATGGGCAAAGTGAAAGTAAACCCTTAAGTTTTTTCCATTTGATTCTCAATATATTTATACGTAAAAGAAAAGTATGTAAAACTTAGGGAAAAATCATGATTTGGTATTTACCTTGGGATAATAAAAAAAGATAAGTAAAAAGAATAAGAAAGAGTAAAGATTTGATAAAGAAATATATTTACCTCTTTGGTATTGAACATTGTGACAGTATCAGTATGGTACAGAAATAACGTCAGAAGGAAAAGAATTATCAAAAATAACGTACACTGTACATTTTTTCTATTATTAATTTTTATATATATATATATATATTTAAATTAAGTGTTTTTACAAAAAAAAAAGCAGAAAAAATGTGTCAGAAAGATTTATGCAGCTTTCATTCATTCATCACTTGCACTGTCTCGTGATGAAAATTAAACTTTTTGTATCAGAAATTATTAAAAATTACATTTAAAAAAAAAAAAACAAATACATTAAAAAGAAGGAAAAGAAAAAAAAAATTCCCTCCTTTACAAAGTGCGTTTGCTTTGTGGAGTCTCATTCTCTCTCCTCTGGTAAGTGAGAGAGGATCTTTGTTTGTTTGGTTCTGCAATCATAATTTCGTGATTTACTAAAAATGTATTCTCTTCTTCTTCTTCTCTCTTATACGCATAGAAGACCCTACTCTATGATCTTCTTCCTCTCTTCTCTTTGTTCTCTCATGGATTTTTCCTTTTTTTCTCCCTAAAATTATGGGTTTTGTTCTTTCTCTCTCTCTCTCTCTCTCTCTCTCTCTCACACTCTAAAGCACTTGTCTTTCTTTCTTTGGTCAGAAATCTAAAGATGGTTTTTGTTCCGAAACAGTTATTTTGACTTCAGAAAACCAGAAGCTTTAATCCGGGTTTCATGGCCTAAAGAGCTACACTTTTCTTCTCTTCTCTCACTTTCTCGATGCTGTTTCTTCCTCCATTGCCTTAAAAGTTTCACAATTTCAATGGTATTTTTGTCAATCACTCAACTGTGTGTTTCTGGGAAGACGAAGAAGAAGAACAAGAGTGTGTGATTGATTGATTGATTTATTCTCCTCTGATTGATTGATTTTTTTTTTTTCTTTCCGAAATGGCATTTTGGTGCATGTCATTTCTTCTCATGGTCTGGTTTTTATCGAATTCTGACTTCTGTGAAGCTCAGCTAAGCGATGAAGCCACATTGTTAGCCATTAATAGAGAGCTTGGAGTTCCTGGATGGAGTAGCAATGTCACTGACTATTGTACTTGGGTTGGGCTCAAGTGTGCTGCCAACAACTCCTTTGTTGAAAGCCTTAATCTCTCAGGGCTTCAGCTTAGAGGTAATCTCACTCTAATCTCTGACCTCAGAAGCTTAAAGCATCTAGATCTTTCTGGTAACAACTTCGATGGACCAATTCCTGCATCTTTTGGCAACCTCTCTGAGCTTGAGTTTTTAGATTTGTCTCTGAATCGTTTTGTTGGCGAAATCCCTGTTGAGTTTGGTAAGCTTAGAGGCCTTAGAGCATTCAACATTTCTAATAACTTGCTTGTGGGAGAGATACCTGATGAGCTAATGGTGCTACAGAGGTTAGAGGAGTTTCAGGTCTCTGGAAATGGCTTAAATGGTTCTATACCTCACTGGGTAGGGAATCTGAGCAATCTCAGGGTGTTTACAGCTTATGAGAATGATTTGGTTGGTGAGATACCAAATGGGTTAGGTCTGGTTTCTGAATTGGAATTGTTAAATCTCCACTCAAACCACCTTGAGGGGAAGATTCCAAGGGGGATTTTTGAGAAAGGGAAGCTGAAAGTTTTGGTCTTGACACAGAATAGATTGACCGGTGAACTCCCTGAAGCAGTAGGAAACTGCAGCGGCCTCTCGAGCATTAGAATTGGTAACAATGAGCTTGTGGGAGTCATTCCGAGGACAATTGGAAACATTAGTGGACTTACCTACTTTGAAGCAGACAATAACAATCTCTCAGGTGAGATTGTTGCAGAGTTCTCGAAGTGTTCTAATCTCACTCTGCTGAATTTGGCAGCAAATGGGTTTGCTGGAACCATTCCAGCAGAGCTTGGCCAGCTCATGAATCTTCAAGAACTGATTCTCTCAGGTAATAGTCTCTTTGGGGAAATCCCTAAGTCGTTTCTTGGACATGGAACCCTTAACAAGCTTGATTTGAGCAACAACAGACTAAACGGCACCATCCCAAAGGAAATCTGCAGCATGCAGAGGCTTCAATATTTGCTCCTTGATCAGAATTCCATAAGAGGAGACATACCTCATGAGATAGGAAACTGTGTGAAGCTGCTTGTGCTCCAACTGGGTCGAAATTACTTGACAGGAACCATTCCTCCCGATATTGGTCGCATGAGGAATTTGCAGATAGCACTCAACTTAAGTTTCAACCATCTGCATGGATCATTGCCTCCCGAGTTAGGAAAGCTCGACAAGCTCGTGTCATTGGATGTCTCTAACAACTTGCTCACAGGATCCATACCACAACTACTAAAAGGTATGATGAGTTTGATCGAGGTTAATTTCTCAAACAACCTCTTGAGTGGTCCAGTGCCAGTTTTTGTTCCTTTTCAAAAGTCTCCAAATTCGAGCTTTTCGGGGAATAAAGAGCTTTGTGGAGCGCCATTGAGCTCTTCTTGTGGATACTCTGACGATCTTGAACATTTAAGATACAATCACAGAGTCTCCTACAGGATTGTGCTTGCAGTGATTGGTTCTGGTATTGCTGTCTTTGTATCAGTCACTGTGGTTGTTCTTCTCTTCATGATGAGGGAGAAACAAGAGAAAGCAGCAGCTAAAAACGTTGATGTTGAAGAAAACATTGAGGATGAGCAACCAGCGATTATAGCGGGAAATGTCTTCCTTGAGAATCTAAAGCAAGGAATTGATCTTGATGCAGTTGTGAAAGCAGCTATGAAGGAGTCAAATAAACTCAGCACAGGAACTTTCAGTTCAGTTTATAAAGCCGTTATGCCTTCGGGGATGATTGTTTCAGTGAAGAAACTCAAGTCTATGGATAGAGCTATAACTCATCATCAGAACAAGATGATCAGAGAGCTGGAAAGACTCAGCAAACTTTGCCATGAACATTTGGTTAGACCGATCGGGTTTGTTATATATGAAGATGTTGCTCTTTTGTTGCATCAGCATTTACCTAATGGTAACTTAACTCAGCTGATTCATGAGTCCACCAAGAAACCTGAGTACAAACCTGACTGGCCAATGAGATTGTCCATAGCTGTTGGGGTAGCAGAAGGTTTAGCATTTCTCCACCATGTTGCCATCATTCACCTCGACGTTTCCTCAAGCAATGTCTTGCTAGACTCTGGTTACAAAGCCGTGCTTGGGGAGATCGAAATATCAAAACTATTGGATCCCTCCCGAGGCACCGCAAGTATTAGCTCAGTTGCAGGGTCCTTTGGCTACATTCCTCCAGGTATAAACTCTTAATTCTTTTGTTACCAATAATTTCATTAAAAATCCAACACTTTCCCTTGTTTTATTCCAGAGTATGCATACACAATGCAAGTTACTGCACCGGGGAATGTTTACAGCTATGGAGTTGTGTTGCTTGAGATTCTAACCTCAAGAGCGCCAGTCGAAGAAGAGTTTGGTGAGGGGGTCGATTTGGTGAAATGGGTCCATGGAGCTTCAGCAAGAGGAGAAACACCGGAACAGATACTTGATGCCAAGCTTAGCACCGTGTCCTTTGCTTGGAGGAGAGAGATGCTTGCAGCTCTAAAAGTTGCATTGCTTTGCACAGACATCACGCCTGCAAAAAGGCCAAAGATGAAGAAAGTAGTTGAAATGCTTCAAGAGGTTAAGCAAATGAAATGAGATAATGAGTGATGATATAGTTTCCTATATATGCGTGCTTTTCCTCTGTGTATTATATAGAGTATTATGATGAATTGATCGCTTATGGTTCCAATTACTGAAATTATAAATTAGATCATATATAGAAGAACCAATGTACATCTGGGGGAAACTGTTCATCAAGCCTTGTTGTGGAATCAAAAAAATCTTTAGATTACAAGACCACGTGAAAACCAGATGGCCTCTTTCAATTTTTTTACAAATCACACCAAAAAGAAACAAATGAACTGGACAAAAGAATAAGTGAAAAAGCAAAAGAGGAGATGGGAATTAAAAAAACCTACGAGGAATGATCTAAGTATAGCACGACGGAGGTAATTCCGATTAATGATGCTAAAGATTCTAAATACGCAACTCAAGACTTTGAAGACCAAACAAACCTAGCTTTGTTATGTTTTGTTTGAGTTCTTGACTGGAATTCAAAGCCAAACATGGTTTGGATCTTGCCGATTATCAACAGCCAGCAGCTTTAAGGAAATTGTCGTAAGGGCTTGAGGCTGGTAATCTAAATGCTTGTTGGTTATTTTGTAGTTCTGCAAAGCACTGTGTCTGAATAGTTCCCACTGGAGTTCTTGGCGATTTCATGTCGAATTCTTTCACCAGTAAAGGGACTTCGACCTAAGCAAATTTTATTAATCAGTAGAAAAATGATTAAATTATTATCGTGGAAGATGAAACCAGAGGCTGAGATTGGTTTCCAAGCAAATAGATTATCAGAATTCAGTAATTTATAGCTAGGGCCTAGGGGCATTACATACCTCGGTATAAAATGTTGAATTGATCATAGGATGAAAAGTTGCGGTCGTGATCTCTTCATCATGCTGACGTGGAGAGCAGTTAACAGAACTGTCATGTCGCAGCTGAGAACTCAAAAGACTTGAGATCTTCTGCTGTTTTCCCATTAATAGATTCTCACAATGAAGCGTCATTTCTTTGTATGAAGCATCAGCTGCAGTATGAAAAGAAATTCTACCCACTTGACGTGTTGTCTCAACGACCTTCGAAAAACAAAACAAGTATTTTAGTATGTTACTTTGGTGATGACTTTGCAATTTAATTTCTATTAAGAAGGCACATATAACTTACAGATTCTAGAATTTGATTGACGGTCAGGAGGTCTGGGATTTCAGAAAATGTTACAGGATTATTCTTTGTTACGGTTTCAGAGCCATCTCCAAATTCTTGATCCTCGTGAGAGAAGAGTGCCGCGTCCTGAAGACACAGACACAACATATTTCAATAAGATGTTCCATCTCAAGGTTTTTAGAAAACTATGGGAAGCAGAAGAAATTGTTACCATTTTTTGAGGTTTAACATCTCCAGAATGGGTTTTCTGGTTGTCTTCTAAAAACCGGGTTCCAAGTGGACATGCATCATCTGGCATGAATTCAGTGAGTAACTGCTCCCGCATTTTGTCCATTTCAGACTGGATACAGTTGACTCTTTGTTAGTTTGCTGTGATTATCAATTGATTTACCAGAATATCGAATGCTACCTGGGGTAGAGTAATTTAGTTGGGAAGTTGTAACAGTAAACACTTACATTGCACATATCTTCTAAGCTTTTGACAATTTCATAGACGAGTGTTCCTCTGCTATGCTCAGTGGAGACTGCTATGTTGGAAAGACAATCTAAAGCTGAGGAATCATCTCTTTCGCATCCGTAAGCAACTTTTAGCTGATCTGAATTTACAGCCTTCAACTTGTGATCGTCAACCAAGTGCAAGAATGGGTCGAGCTGAATCAGGCAAAAGAGGAAGTTACAACAAAAAGAGGGAAGAAATTTTTCTCTGTATCGTGCAATAATTCAACGAGAAACAAAAACATCAACGTGGCAACATTTTCACCAGAATGATCAACGTACCCTTGGTCCCTGAAGTGCTACTTTTGTAAAATCCGCCAGAGAAAAAAGATTGAATGCTTTTGAAGAAAAGAGAACCATTGATGCAGCCAGAGTAAAGAGTGACCTTCGTCGAGATGGAGGAAGTGGTCCTGAAATAGTAAAAATAAGGATCTACATCATAGTTTCCATACCAAAACCAAGGATAAAGGTTCAACTCAGGGAGGAAACAAAACACATGGAAGCTCACCTCCTTCCATTAAAGAAATATCTCGCAAAGAAAGTGCCATTTGGAAACTTCGAATTAAAGCTTCGTGACTTGAGTTCTGAAAGATAAGAATTTTATGATATATTAAATAAAATTGTGTCAGCAGATATATCATAAGAAGATCTAGTGAGGAGGCTTTGGTCATAGATCATATAAACAAAAAAGAAACACTCAGATGCAGAGGTGGCAAAAGTATTGAGATATGGAATATATGTTACCTTAACACGAGAGAACAACAATACAAGACTGTAGGTGTTAGCAATCGCCTCATAATTGTCTGGTGTATTTGCTGGAGATATGGATTGCGCCCAGATTGATGAAAGCAAAAGACCTATCTGGTGACTACTTAGCCTTATATAGACAGCATCCTGAGGAAAATGTAAGAAATAAAATTAGAGTGGAGATTGATCCAATGTGTACCTAAGAATTGGAAGCATATATCAAGAATTTTATATAATTAGAACTGTAGTTAGAGTAGTTCAAGAGGCTATTTTGGATTCATTTATTACATATACTCTTGGTCCCATCCTAAATCTATGTTGAGAGCCTTGGGGATATTTTCTGACTTACATACATATAGGCCTATGGGGCCACATTTAAGGTCAGTAAGAAATGTACTAATCTTATAGTAAGTTTTTTCACACAAAAAAAAAGGTTGCAAGGATGTACCAGCTCAGAGTTTAAAAGATCCACAGAGTTATCTTCTAGTGAGGTCACTGGTTGATTCCAAGTGCTATATGCCTGACTGTATGAAGATTTCAATCTGTCAAGGATTTCCCCCCTATTGCTTCCAGATTCTTCCGCAGGCATTTCGTTTTGGCTCTGATCAGAAGTTAACATTGATGAAAATTTATCCTTCTTCAGCTTCTCGAAAAGGGCTGCTGAGGAGGAAAAGACAGACGCGGTCCTTGAAAGTGAACGAGGAAGACCCATTCCTTTCTTAAGATCAGTAGTGGTCGAGGAAGGGCGTGGGCATACTGAGGTTGGTACCAGCACAACAGAAAATATACGGTGTGCGCCAATCCGTGTTTTATGATCTGGATGGACCATAGCTTGAAGTAACTGATGGAATAAGGCCTCGGGAAAAGCCTGAAATGAAAAAAGTAATAGAAGCTTAGCAATTTCATTAATATTGGTCTGATCTCTCAACGACAAGAAAAAAAAATACTAGATGTTACAGGGAGGTTACCTTGTTTTGATATGACAGATTTGGTAAAGAGGCTATAATCTGAGCGGTGCGAAAAACAGCAGCAATTGTGGTTCTTGCTACGTTTGTGACAGCTGAAATATTCTCCAACATCATAGCCATAGCATCTAGAATTGGGCCAGCGTCTCCAACCTTAGCAATCGACAGATCAGTCTCACATCTCTTTAAAAAAGAATATACTGAAGAGGAAGAACTCGCTCTGAGAGTGATAATAATTTGGATATTAGTAATATACCTTTTTTGTCAGTTGGACGAGGCACTTATCAACAGCTACACTGACCAATCTGTTACAGTTTGCTGCGTCAGTTCCCAGATTTGCTTCATCTAGAGAAGAATGCATGCATTTTCTCAAGTGCCTCATGATATCGCTTATTGCGCTGACTATTGCTGCTGAGTACTCAACTTTTGCAATTTCAGCAAGGGAAAAAGTAACCTCTAAAATGTTGAGCTGCATACTTGGCTGTTTAAGCACACTTTTATGATCAAGGTGTTTAATCAACATAGACAGTATAAAGTGTGTTCTTTGCCCTGCAAGATTGCAGAACTATTTCAGAGCACTGATCATTTAGGAAGGACTGAAAAAAAAAAAAGATCAGAGCTTCATACCAGATATTTCCATTAAAAACTGCAGATCCCTTAAAACAGGGAATGCAATCGAATTCTCTTTTGACCATAGATATCCCTCATCAAAGTAACGGAACACAGACTCAAGTATACGTCTCATGGTTGTGGCCTCTTCACCTAGCTTGGCCATGTTATATAGGCAAACCTTGGACCAAAAGCTAGGGTCCAAGGAATCTTCCCTGAAAAAGAAAAGATATGTTGAAGAGAAGAAAAGAACCCAAAAAGGCAAACATAAACACAACTGACGTGAGAAGAAATTACATTTTGACATTTAGTTCACCCTTGTCATTCACAACTGTTCTCCAAGAAGGAACATTTATGAGGGAATCTGCATAAGCGACATGACCTTCATTTTTCAAGACTTCATCCACCCACTTTCTGCCACTATCATTAGCATTTGTTGATATTTTGGGATGACCATAATTTTCCAAGACTGCTGAGACAACCTGCCACACAAATATTGAATTTATCAATTAACAGATAGTAACATCTACAACCTACAACTCTACTAAGATCCAATTCTAGCCATGCGATCTCTATCCACATTTCTATAAATCAGCCATTACTGGTAGATTGTTATGGTATTCCAAACTTTTGGCCAAAAAAAATTAGAAAGGAAATCTGACAGAGTATCCTTCACTTCGTCTATTGTTAGATACCAAATATCAATTGCTTTCGTTGCAGTCAGAAATAACAGATCATAATATATAGGAATCCCGAAACCAAAGTTTACCTGTGAAGATAACAAAAGAAACTAGTTCATAGCCTGAGATTTACTTACATTGTCAAAGTCGCTGGGGATATGAGAGTATTCACCCATCAGCCAAATCTGGAAATAGATAAACGGACCAGCATGCATCAGAAGATACTTCTAGATTCACAATAATGAAGAATAGTATTTACAGAAGCATAAAAACATAACCGTAATTACCATCGCTGAAAGCGCTTGAAGTCCTGCTGCACGCAGACTCCGCAATCTGTCATCATCCCCACCTTCCAGTCCTAATTGGCACAGCTTTGGGAGAAAGCCTTCTAAGTTAAACAGGGAACTGCCATCCTTCTGAGAAATTTGGTAGCAATCATGCTATATTATTATTTCTTCTTTCCTTAACTAATTTATCAGATAGCACCCGATACGAGGCTACAAGAGAATTCTATCAAATATATAAGAGGCTGACCTGGTTATTCACAAATTCGAAAAGAGACTGACATCCAATTATCTGCATTTCATCTTGTCGAGTTTGATCCAAAAGAGCTTGCACCGTCCTTAGAAAGCCACTAGAAAAAAGAGGCCTGAAGAAAAGAACAAAGGAAAAAAAAACCATGTTACCTATACATGCCGAAAAAATACTCATGCTTCAATAAAGGTTACAGTTATGGTTAAATCTCTTGCCTTCTTATGCTAAGCCAAAAATTATCTTAGACAAAAGAGAACATTTGAAGTGTTTGTAAAGAAAGCAAAAGAAGGATGACCTCACATTTGCTCCTTACAAGTGACCAGAAGCCTTCTGTAAATGCACATAGCTATCTTTGCCAAGTGGAAATTCTCATTCCTCAATTCCTTGTAACATCTTTGTTCGAGAGAATCTGATATCTGGAAAATCATATAATTTAACAACAGAAAACTAAATTTGGGAACAAGAAAATCTGAAAACATTGCTATGACGAGTGATCTGACTCAAATATATGAACTTATGAAAACCAGATGTCAAAGAATTGCTAATATTCCAGTCCAGCAGAAGAGTTTTTTTTTATGAATAATGTTGTAGACTTGGCATTGGGTAATTTATACCTTTGGCATTCGCACAGCGTTCTTTGCAGCATATTCACATAGTTTTCCTATCTTCCGGTCATTTGGGCCTTCATCCTGTCAGAAATTTAAGCAGTGATAAGTTAAACCAACCCACCAAGAAAACCAAGAGGGAAGCTCCAGTTTTCTATTATACTGTGTCACATTCACTAGAGATTGACTCAAAAGCGAAATGAAATGCAGATAAACAAACTTTAACATAGAAAAGGGAAAGGACATAAGGTTAAAAACAAAAATTTCTGGCACCCTGAAAAAAATAGAAACACAGATTGCATAATTACTCATGATTTCATCATTGAAATGTCACTGCAGCCATAGAGAGGCTGACTTAACAACTATGGTGCTTCCAATAGCAATGGCAATGTATGAGAATTATCAACTCAAGCAACCATCAGTCATATCCTCAGTAATCAAAGACAATACTTAAGAAACGAGAAGGAAATCAAAATCAAACTTTCTTTAGACTAAAGAGAGAGGGAGAGAGAAAAGGGAACAAGAGAAAATAGAAACCTGATTACGAGGGAAAATATCAGCAATGAGCTTCTTGTACCTCTTGACAGGCTGTCTAGACCTTGCACGCAGGGCGGGGCAAAGAATGCAAAGGCTACCACAAACTGGCAAAACTTGCCTCGAAATAACACCCGAGACTGAGCTCATTGCCTCTACTCTCAGATTCTCACCCAAAAAAAATAATGATCAATCAAAAAATCCTGATGAATCTATGAATACGTGTAATCCTCCCTTCCCTCTTGATCCACCGAAAAAGCCCTAAAGCTTCCTCGGGCAAGAAGGTAAACAGAGCTCGATGATTAAAACGAGTCACTCCTTAAAACACACAAGCTCTTCTTCCTGAAATTATCCCAAAAAAAAAAAGTTCAGAATTTCAAAAACGACTTCTATAACCCCCCGAAAACGAATTTACCCAACAAGTCTGATGATCAAAAAAATTTAACAAACCCAGATGACAAAGTACCCAGATTGATCACGAATTTCAATGTAATGCTGCAAAAACTAAACATCAATTTACCTCAGATCAAAGCACAATTAAGCCAGCCGATGACTGAAAAAAATTGATCGGAAAACTCGGAACCCAACGAAGATTGTTTCTCTCTCAGTAGAATGTAGTCACCAGATCGTCCGGCGAAGCTTTGAGCTTTGAGCTTTGATTAATTTAAGTTTCCCTTTCCTCAGATACGTTTCAACGGCACGACGCGGGTTCCACCTTCTGCCGTTTCGTTGCTAATTCCTTTTTTTTGTTTTTTTTTTTTTTTACATTCTCTTTTATAATAATCTTTCAGATAAATCATCTCTTAAGCTCAGCCGTCGGATGCGAATACCAGCGGCTATGGTTATAGAACGTATTATTTTATTTTAATTATTTTTCTTCTTTGTTGAAAATTGCTGAGGTAGTTATTGTATTTTGGCTAGCCAGCTCATACAGTGCAAATAAAGCAAATTATCTTCTTAAATTATTCTATAATTAGTTTTTTTTTTTAAATACTCACACGTTGTGTGTGGGCATGATGTGGAAAAAAAATTCTGAATACATTCTTAGAGAAGAATAATTATATTTTGCTGATTATCTTTTAATGTCCTCCTGATAATAATCTACAGTAATAGAGTCGAATGATCCGGTGTAACACTGTGAGTCGAATGTTATATAGATTAAAATTATTCATTATTAAACTTAAATCGAATTCTTTCGACAAGAACACGTTTTTGTATTTAATTAAAAAAATTGGTACACCACTGATCACATCATGGAGTTTAATGCACCGTTAAGTTAGCTGCCACTATAATTAACGTCGTTAGTTGCACATGACGTTCGTTCACATTGGGTTGGCGATCTGTTTTTTTCTTTTATTTTTACCGCGGAAAGCGGGTAAAAGTTTCCCGCGGAGAACTCGCCAATGATACAAGTCAAAGTCAGTATAGTAAATTTAACGGCGACCATTGGTTAGGTAAGTTTAAGAAAGAGTAGTGTCTATCTACATAAACCACACCACCCAAGGCCAAGGATATAAACTCTAAAGGTTGGTCTACAATTCTGGACATGAGTTCTTTGACTTTGAAAGAAGAAGTTGTTCAAAGAATATGTCTCTTTTTTCTTTTTTTTTTGGTGTTCAAAACCAGTCAAAAGAGGAGGAAAAAAAAATACAATGTTGAATACTTTCAGAATAAATGTAATATGTGGCTTATGAACGCCTCTGTTCCTATGCATTAGATGTACCTCGGTGATCCCTTTCAATATGGTTCACAAGATCCACAGGATCACGGAATCCTCTGCTACATTTGGGGCAAACATCGATCGTCACTTTGCCATGACTCTGTATCTTGTTCCTCTCATGTGTTTTCTCTACATGTTCCACGAGAGTAGTAACTGAAGAGAATTTCGCATTACACTGTGGACAAATCTCTATGATGCCATCATTGCTGCTGCTTGAAAACTGTAGCTTCTGGCTTATGTCGTTACCGAGTCTGCTGATTCCTGCTTCTGCTGAAGATAAGAGATTAGACCATCTCGAAGAAGAGGATGATGAAGTTGATGCAGAAGCTTTGTTGGGTCTTGCTGTTTTAGCTTCTTTTCTGCTGGTACCACTACTCAAGAAACCCATGAATGGGAGTTTTCTCGGTCCAGGGCAAGTGTGATCAGGTCCAAAACGGTGTTTCAAGCAGTGATCGATATTGCAATCCCGGCACTTGATGGTGTTGGAGAATGTCAGTTGCTCCTTGCATCTTGGAACAGGACATTTCTTCTTCTTTGTGGCTTTTTCGTAGTTTGATGGGTCACAGTCGGTGTTGACATGTTTCTCCCAAGTTATGTTTGGGTCTTCGTTTGGGTTTAAGCGGACTCCTTTAGCACAGAGGGGGCATATAACCACAGTCACATCTTCTCTGTCGCCTTTTGGACAACTATGTTTCATATAGCTTCGATGATCCAAACAGAACACCTGTAAAAAACCATTATTAAACTTCTCCTCCAAACCAAAGAAACGTTTTGATAAAAGATTCAGAGAACCCAAGAGCGAGAACAGAAGCTAGGAACTGAAGTTCAAATCTTCAATGGCAATTTTTCTAATAGACACATGTGGGAACAAACAACCAAACTAAGGAAGCACACAAGAATCATTGCATGTGTTTTCCTGAATCAGGATCATTAGCATTTGTTTAGAACAGAATGATTCAGAAATAAGAATCAAGAAACTGGACACTGTAAATGTGGAAGAACACTACCTAACTCAATCGAAAGTGCTAAGTAGTTGCCAAATGCTGCTAAGTAAAGATCCAAATGGAATATAACTTAACAACTAACAACAGTCAACGAAAAGGATTTGCAGTGAGATAACGTGGAGATTGAAAATCCATTGAACTCAATCCTATACCAAACCAGAGGCAAGTAATCTACAACAGAAAAGGGACAATTTTTCTCGCGTAGATTCCAGGGACCGAAGATATGGGATTCGGAAGTCTTAAGAGTCTATACACCATTCAATTCGCGTCAAACACAAAATAAATAAAACAAGATTTTTTTGCATGTGAGATTCCAAACAGAGAGGGAAAAAAAGGAACCTGGAGGCAACGGTCGCAGGTGAAGGGCAAGAAATCGATCTGCTTGCAAACATCAACGGAGCAGTGTTTCCCCAGATCTGGAAACTCCGGAGTCCCCATTCTTTCTCAACCCAAGAAAGAGCTTAACCAGCAATTCAAAAATACAACCCAAACAAAACACTTCCGACAAGATAATTTAGGATCCCAAAAAATAAATGAAATAAACTCTTAGGGTTTCTCGGGCGAGAGATAGAGAGAAAGATTCTGCGGATTCTGATGAGCTGAAATTTCGCCAGAGCTTTTTAAAATATACAATTCTTTAGGAAACGTCAACTAGGATATTTCTTCTTCTTTTCAAAGTCTCTCTCTTTTCCCCTGTCCTAATCTACAACTCCTAGAACCAAATCAAATAAAAAGTGAAGACTTTATATCGTTCACAAATTTTTACAAAACCAGCAACTTTATTTTCCAAGAATCAGAATTGACTTTAGCTTTCCTTTATCATATTAGTTCTATCTCATGTATATATGTTAAATGAATCCAAGCACGCTTTATCACATTGGTTCAATATTTGTAGAGGTGGAAATTAAACTGGCACCAAGAAAAGCTGGATTTAAACCTTTTTTCAAAACTAGAACATTAATAAGATCCATAACATGAAAACTGAGCAAAATATAAATCGTTTGGAAGAGATGAAAACCATACGGTGCACAATCCAGCAAAACATATACTACCCAAAGGTTCAACCAAAATTAACTCATCAAGGATAAATCCAAACAGAGCACAAGCTTGGAGCTTTATCTAGGCTTGGTCTTCAACCTCGGTCACGACTTTGACAGGAACATCCTTGGACGCCAAGAGATCTGTGTACTCCTGGTATGGGGATTTCTGGAATCTCGTCTCTTTCCAGAACTCTGGTGTAAGGAATCCGTATGTCTTCTGAAGGCAGTCGAATGTAGCCTGCAAAAACATGAAACCAATTTAGCAAAGCAATACTCATATTCTTTAGAGTACTCCAGATAGGTATAAACTCACAAGTAGCAACTAAGCAAACACATTATATGACAAAGTACGGCATCTCATATTCAGATAATGACAAGGATTGACAAGATACAAAAGATATATAAAATCAGACAAATGTCAGTCAATTTGGTATACTAACAGCAACGACAGGGAAGCCGAACTGAATTCAACAACTCCTTAATATATCAACAGCAAATATTTACATATTGATAATCCATTGCAGATTAGAAGAAAAAGAGACACACTTTATTACTTTCTTGTGCTTTAAGATTGAGCCCCGTTATGTTTTTGGGATACACAATCTATAAACCATTTTGCATATTGAAGCTGTTAATTATTAATATAGAAATATTCCTTTTGTATAGATTTGTGTAAGATCCTTGTATAAAAATACATTTCGCAACATTGTAGTTAGCTAGCTATACTTTTACAATTTTGGTGTGTTGCGATATACTTACCTATTAATATTATTATTGAGACAAATTCCTAATTTAACTTTGACTTTACTCTGTTTCTAAAGTAGATCTCCCCCTTCTAGGTTGGAATGAAACCCTAGCTTTAAGAGCCCTATATTTATATTAGCTTGTAACTCTTAATTTATTCAGCAGCAGTTTTGAAAGAGACGTATCTCTCACAGCCCTATTACACACGTTCCTTGGCCATGGCTCCTACGGCTCAGAAGGCCGATGCGCATACACTCAAGCGAGATATTCACCAGTGTGCAACGGCGGTGCAAGCTCTCGCCATCCAGGAGGAGGATTACATCAATGTCCAGCCACATGAAGAATGCAATAATGAATACAACCCCTTTTCAGAAGAGCATCGGTTCAAGTTTGAACTCCCGAAATATCATGGCGGACAACCACCGGAAGAGTTTCTCGATTGGATCTTCACGGTCGAGGAGACTCTTGAGTTCAACCATGTACCTATGGAGCAACGTGTTCCCATGGTTGTGATGCGATTCCGCGGAAGGGCCGCAGCTTGGTGGACGCAACTAAAGGCACAGCGCGCACAGTCGGGTAAACCTAAAAACATGTCGTGGGACAAGCTGAAGAAGAAGATGCGTAAGATGTTCGTACCATTCAACTATGATCAAGTGATGTTCCAACGCTTGAACATGTTGCAACAAGGACAGGGTTCAGTTGAAAGATATTCCACCCAATTCTTTTCGCTTTTGGCGCGTGTTGACCTGCAAGATTCGGACCAGCAAATAGTGGCTCGTTTCGTTGGTGGCTTGCGGAAAAATATCCGAGACCATCTTAACTTGCTGTACTGCCCTCTCACTGTTGCGGAGGCTCATCAACAGGCCCTCGCCATGGAAGCTCAAACAACTAAGAAAGACGACCACGGCTTTTGGCCAAAAACTTTTGTAGAAATAGCTCCATGGTGTTTCGCCGCTGCCTTGTCCGTTGTTTGGCTTTCGGCCCTGAGACGGTAAGACGCCAAGAACAAGAAGACTCCCATGCAGCCCTATAATTTAGTTTTTGTTTTTTTCATTAATTATAATTCGGCAGCGTATGAAATTTATAATTAACTCACTTTGGACTAGTACTGAAGTTATGAGATATATATCATAATATATTTGTGTATTGGAGTGTTTTGGTATCTCCTTACGTACGTTGAACCCCATATTATTATATCATCAAGGTTTTATGCGGCAAGATATATCATGTCGAAGCTAGGGTCAATATATATATATATTCCCCCTTATACAATTAATAAACCTAAGAAAGAACGACAAATTCTGCATGTTCGTAGATAGTATAACTTGATTCATGGTCTTAATTTACTAAGAAGTCATAAATTGCATAATGTTTCAAGTTTAAGGTGAGATTTCAAAAGGTTTTGACTTTTGAATCCTTTATAAACTAATGTGACAATACGTATCCTTGTCTAATAAAGGCACATATTAATCTGCTTAGCAAAAAAAAAGGCACATATTAATATATCCATTTTATAAGCACGAGGTGAAAGCTACTGAGGATAGCAGAATCAGGGTCGAGAACTTGGACGATAAGCCCAAAAATATTCATAAGCATCGAGCCACCTTCTCGTACAAGTCACGGGGCCAGTTCCGGTGAGTGTTGCTTGCAAGAAACCCAGCAATCTGCGGATAGCGACCAGAGGCCCAAGTTATCATGACTTTGTAAAATAGACTCAATCAAGATTATTATGAATTTGTTAATTCATGTACCTTGGATCTCATGGCACGGATTGATCCATCAGTGTCAGGTACATTGTCCAAACACGTGAGATATTCTGAGACCTGAAGGACTCGTCTTCATCTGCTGGAACTTTAAATGGTAATAGCCAAGCCAAGATAATGAAAGAAATGTTATATATTACAGACTCTCAGATTGTGCTATGGGGATGGCTCAGTTACCTAACAACTAACCTAGCAAATGAAACTGGGAATACCTGATCCGGAACTTTCTCGCCAAGCTCTCCTTTCTCTGCACAAACCTTCTCCTTCCCCTGCCTCCTGAATTGGGCAAACAGAGATAAAACTCTCAACTTATTCCGAGATCAAAATCGATTTATAGAAGAAATACAAAAAAGGAAGAAAGCAAAATCAACATTGACATCGAGATTAATATTCCTAAATCTTTTTACCTGCATGAGCAGTCTTTCATCTTCCTCCAGCTTTAGTGTCTTCTGTAAAGAGTTAAAACAAAGGGTTAAACAAATTGTTTGAGATTGGTGTATTGCATATCACAACGTAACATGCACAAGAAGATGATTTCAAGAGATAATACAACAAGTGTGTTGTTTATATTTTATACCTTTGCTAGTTGGTCTTCCACGCAGAGCAAGCCTTGGCTTAACTGTGTTTCAAGGGATCGCAGCTCCGCGAAACTCAGGCTGTTGATACCCTCACCACTCAGTCTCCTGGGAGTAGAAAACAAAACCCCATAAGAGCCAAAATAAAAGGAAACGAAGAAACATGACATTCTGGTTACAGGAAGTGGGACAATGCATGCTAATGAGTCAGAAGCTGTACTCTTTCGAGTTCGCTACTTAAAGTCTCAGCAATTTACAGCTGCAAGATCCGAAGCTTGTAAGAGCGCAATGTAAGCAATATATATCTATATGGAGGAGGGTAAGTGCATATACATACCAATTCTTCATAAACTTGTTCTTGTAGCCTTTGTTCGGAGCTGTATCCGTTGCAAAACCCAAAAGACGAAGAAGTAGAAGAAGTCAGGGTTTTTCTTAAACTAAAACCTGACTAACAACTTTGAACCTAGATGATCTATTAGATTTTCTCATAACTCAGATTCTAAGATCCAAGCTTTAATAATATTCTTAGTACAGTCAGATAACGAAGGATAAAAATTTTGTTAGTACAGTCAGATAACAAGAAATAAGAACGCTAAACAGCCCTCTGAAGATTTTCTGTGTGTAAAGCTCTTTTATGTCTGGACACTAACCCGAAAGGAGGCACAAATTCTTTGCAAATTTCCAACAGAGCCACCAAGAGCAGCCTAGACAGGATTAAAAAAAGCAAGAAGCATGTGACTAAGTGAGAATGATTATTGAAAAATCATGTAACTTTTTAGACAGCATCCAACCATTTGAAGTAGATGATAATCAATATGCCATATTATCAAGTACACAAAAAACAAAAAACGAGAGAGAAATGAATACTTGTGTCAAGTGACTCTGAATTGTGTCCATTATAAAATTTTCATGCCCGAATTGTTATTGACGTCTTGCACCTAAGGTGAGGGACATCCTCTTCGGAACACCCAGTTGAACTGCTGAATATTGCCTGGAAGTTTTTTGTCAACAATCAGAAATCATTTGCATGGATTTAAAGAAGGCAGGACTATAACAATTATCCTTAGAGAGTGGTTGGCTGGAAGATATAGTTTCTGGTAAAAGGATTACCTGAAGAAGCTGCCATATTTTCTTCATGTTGACAGATTTTCCGCGAGTAACCTCAGCACCAAGAGTAACACAAGCGTCCTTAAAACACATAGCAGGCTATACAAAAGTAAAGATTGGGATTACTAGAAAGCACAACCAAACAATGAATATGAGGGTAGCCAGTTTTTATGGCTGCTGCATAGAAGGTAGACTTCGACAACTAGTTAAGGAAATGAATATGTACTGAGTTTTAGGACAAGGTATAGGAAATCCATACTCGAAATGGAAAGCCTCGTTCTCTTGAAGTGTTAAGATTCTTCACAACCTCTCTATAGACGTATGCTTTTTTTTCTCATGAATGGGTATGTTAGCCAGAGCCACAAGTTCTTTACCTGGTGTTGAGGAAACTCGAGGACTTGAAGCCACCGGCACTAGTTGACCAGCATGAGCCTCTCCTCTTGTATCAATCAAATTCGTTTTAGGTTCTGCTGAGGCTCTGAAGGAAGTCACGTTTTTTTCTTTTTTTCCAATCCTCCTGTCAAGTCGAATTCAAATTGAATATTTAGCATCTAATACATCCTGTCACTAAGCAAATCATCCATATCCATGAAAAGTCTCTATTAAAAGATAACTGCATAGTAAAAATGTACAAAAAGATAACGTTGGTCATTGAAATCGAACAAATCCAAACAATTTTGGTAACAACAATATAAGCAGCGGTTAGGAATGGAGGAAAAAGATATCAGCTACATATAACCAATAATAGCATTCTCCAAATTCACTATAATAGGCTGCTCCTCTGTCGATCTATAAAAGTGATAGAACAACTACTCCAAGAAGCAAAAGGGTACTAATGCTTTGAGGTGTGGATAAAGTAATTAACTAAGAAGTCATCAAGTTATTCAATCTAGTGGCATTTGAATGAATTTGTAAGTTAGGAATGCTAGTTACAAGTGTTATGAGCTCAAACTACCAGGGGGGAAGGATGTAATGGTTCACCTGAAAAATTTATCTCTATAAGTAGGAGAAGGAGCAGAAACTAAAGAGCGGCAGCAATTATGGAATTGTAAGCTACGGCATCGATGATCTATCAAAAGAAACAGAAGAGCCTTTAATTGGAGAAAGCATCAACAATGCACTGTACGACACAACATCAGCTCTTAGAAATGGCTACTTTGCCTAATCCACAAGAGGGTACTTAACAAATATGACTGAGCTAGTTTCCCCAGCCCGTTCGTTCGTCTAGCTCAAAATGAGAGGACACTAGATTCAAAGTGGATAGATAAGTAAAAAAATACTCACACTTAAATATCTCCTTCAAAACCAAACATGTTCTGCCTCAGAACGAATCTCGCAGGGACAGGAACCAAACGGAGCTCTCTTCCGAGCTGCATCTGGAGAAAGAGGATATAACCTCGATCTCAAAAGAAAAAAGAAAGAACAAAAAAAGGAAAAAGTGAAAGCCTCTACTGGAACTGGAGGGTTTACTAATTTTAGAGAGTTTAGAGATTTTCCCACTATATAAAAACAAAACAAAAACAACTCGAGAGAGAGCATCAGTCTTTTGACTCTTTTCCCACAAACACAGACTTGAGAGAGCATCAGAGCGATTAGACTCGAGAGAGCATCAGAGAAATTTCGAAGGCGATCAGAGCAATTTCGAAGGTGTTGGAGATTTCTGAGATCGTACCGAGATTTTCAATCATCACATTCAGATACCGAGATCAATCGTGTTTCAGGTGTGTTTCGGATTATGTTCCTGTTCGTTTGGATCTACTTGATTTAGGTTTGTATGGTTTAGGTTTGTAATCACTAGACTGTGCATTTTAGTTCTTGATGTTGGTAATCTCCGGGAAAATTACCAAACAATTTTGGCGGGAAAATTACCAAACAATTTCAGATCTGGTTTGGTTGTGGTTTGGTTGTGGTTTGGTTGTGTCTCATCGTTCTCTTTTGTTTCACCGACAGCATGACTGCTCCAGGCAAAAGAGACCTTGACCGTGAGAAGGAGACAACGACTGGTGCTTTGAATGTCTTCTTTGGCCTCAATTTGAAAGAGTTTGCTAAAATTCAAGCCTCAGGTCACCTTAAGCTAGAGACTGTCTCAAAAAAACCAAAACCGGACAAACGTTTCACCGAACCTCTCATCATCAGCTGCATTTTCGCTACTGTCTTTATTTTTTAGGTGTGATGTTCACAAGAACTCCCTCCCCACCCTCTGCCTAAAGAATCATGCCTCTGCAGCACTTTTTTTTTTCTTTTTTTCTTTTTCTTCTTCCTTCTTTTCTTCTCTGCCTTTTCATTCTATGATCTTGCGTATCCACCTCATGACCAGTCTCTACCAGGCACTGGTATGCCTTCCTTTATGAAATGGATGTTAAAGCTGTTAATACTTTGACTGTTAGGTGTTTGTTCAAATTCCCTAGAGAGCTGAGCTACTCTCTTTCTATTGCCTTTGGAATTCTCCTTTGTTCCAGGTGTTTCTCTAGATTGCTATTTGGGATTTGACTTTTGGAGATCTAAGGAAACCATGGAACCCAACAAGGAAGATAATGTGTCACTGGCACCTACAGCTCTAGTCACAGCACCTCCTAGTCTACAAGATGCTTCATCTCAGCCAGGTAGCTAACTAGCATTCAAGTACTTGTTACATCTAAGATTACATGCACTTAACTACTTCACTTTTCTCTGGTAGCGTTTTTTTTTTTTTTGTCTTATCAATTATACTGTTTTGAAGGTTTTTGGTTTCTCATTGCCTCTAGATTACAGCTTACTTTGGTCTGCGTAGTCCATGACTCCATATAATATTTCCTTCTTCCAATTCTTAGAGACGTGCTCAGTGTTTTCTTTGGTTTCGTGATCGTTAGCTCTTTGTAATTTACGTTTTACATGTACTAAAACTTCAGGTTTCTCTGCCATACCACCTGTGGGTCCTCCTTTCTCCCCACCAATGTCTCCAATACCACTGATGCCACATCCTCCTGTTTTCCTACCTACTACTTTTAGCCCACCTGTTTCACTTAATGGTGGAGGGAAAACCAGTGACTTGGATTCTGATTCAGACGACCAACTTTTTGGGATATCTGAAGAGAGTAGGCAGTTCAGTAGACCTCTTACCAGCTGCTCTTCACACACGATGGGAAAATACTTGCCACGTGGTATGTCTCTCTTCTGTCTCCTTCGTACTCTCAAACACAAACTTACATATTCTTCACATTTACTGTTTCTTATCAATAACATACTCCTCCTCTGTTTAGTAATTGGTTTTTTTTCCTCTGTTTACTAATTGGTTTTCCTTTCTTTGTCTAGTTCTCTAAGTGGAGTTACTAAACTCTGGGAGATGCCTCAAGTTACAAACAAGATTTCTGTCTTTAAGGACCACAAAGAACGTGCGACTAATGTAGTGTTCAACAGTCGCACGTTCTTTGTGGTCCTTCAAGACAGAAATCTTGTTTGTAACTTGAGGCATCTCCCAGAGTTTAGTAACTCCACTTAGAGAACTAGACAAAGAAAGGAAAACCAATTAGTAAACAGAGGAAAAAAAACCAATTACTAAACAGAGGAGTATGTTATTTTTAAGAAACAGTAAATGTGAAGAACATGTAAGTTTGTGCTTGAGAGTATGAAGGAGAGAGACATACAGCGTGGTATATTTTCCAAGAATCAGAATTGAATTTAGTTTTCCTTTTATCATTTATTATTAGTTCTATCTCAAGTATATGTTAAATAAATCCAAGCACGCTTTATCACATTGGCTCAATATTTGTAGAGGTGGAAATTAAACAGAAACCAAGAAAAGCTGGATTTAAACCTTTTTTCAAAACTAGAACAGTAATAAGATCCATAACAATGAAACTGAGCAAAATATAAATCGTTTGGAAGAGATGAAAACCATACGGTGCACAATCCAGCAAAACATATACTACCCAAAGGTTCAAACAAAATTAACTCATCAAGGATAAATCCAAATAGAGCACAAGCTTGGAGCTTTATCTAGGCTTGGTCTTCAACCTCGGTCACGACTTTGACAGGAACATCCTTGGACGCCAAGAGATCTGTGTACTCTTGGTATGGGGATTTCTGGAATCTCGTCTCTTTCCAGAACTCTGGTGTAAGGAATCCGTATGTCTTCTGAAGGCAATCGAATGTAGCCTGCAAAAACATGACACATCTCAGTTGAAACCAATTTAGCAAAGCAATGCTCATATTCTTTAGAGTACTCCAGATAGGTATAAACTCACAATTAGCAACTAAGCAAACACATTATATGACAAAGTACGGCATCTCATATTCAGATAACTCATGACAGATAGACAAGGATTGACAAGATACAAAAGATATATAAAATCAGACAAATGTCAGTCAATTTGGTATACTAACAGCAACGACAGGGAAGCCGAACTGAATTCAATGAATTCAACAACTCCAGAATATATCAACAACAAATATTTACAGATTGATAATCCATTGCAGATTAGAAGAAAAGAGACACACTTTATTACTTTCATCAACATAACGTTCCGACAGAGATTTCCATCAAGGAGTGAAGTGAGTTTACTTCTAATTATATGGCCTCATGATACTAACTAAGATGACAAAAAGATTCAAACTTCACATCATCAAAGCAATTCCCACAAACCAAATCAACAGGAAACAAATTTCACCTAAATACAAGTCTAACTAATGAAAGAGTGAACAAACCTTGACGAAGTTTCCAAGAGTTTTGGTGGATCCCCTGGAAGAAGTGAAAACATCATCAATTCCAGCGAATTGAAGAACCTTCTTGGGAACTCTAGCAGCCACAATACCAGCACCTCTAGGAGCTGGAACCATCCTCACTGTCACAGATCCACACTTCCCAGTCACCTTGCAAGGAACCGTATGTGGCTTCCCAATCTTGTTACCCCAGTAACCTCTCCTCACTGGAACAACAGAAAGCTTGGCGAGGATGATTGCTCCTCTAATCGCCGTGGCAACCTCCTTAGAGCATTTCACCCCCAATCCAACATGACCGTTACCGTCACCAACGACAACAAACGCCTTGAATCTAGTCCTCTGACCAGCTCTGGTTTGCTTCTGGACGGGCATGATCTTCATCACTTCATCCTTCAAGCTAGGACCAACGAGCAAATCGATGATCTGGTACTCCTTAACGGGGAGTGAATGAAGGTAGATCTGCTCTAGCTTCTGGATTTTGCCGCCCTGCACGAGACGACCGAGCTTAGTCACTGGAACCCATTTCTGTTCTTCAGTGGCCCGGCCTCCACGTCGACCACCACGGCCTCTTGGTCCACCTCTTCCACGTTCTCCACGGCCGCCGCCACCGAATCCACGTGAGAAACCACCACGGTCTCCACCACGCTCAGGGGCACGTTCTCCACCACGTTCCGCCATTGTCGAAGAGTTTAGGAGGCTGCTGAAAGGCTTCGATGTGTTTGTTTGAGTGAGGAAGAGAAAACCCTAGTTGCGGCAAATGGAAGATATATATTGCTCCCAGCTGCTACTGCCAAGGATTTTAGGGTTTCTTAAGGCCTTGTTAGCTTGTGTTTGGTTACATGAATTGCCAAGTTCGATCCACTTATAAAACATTAATGGGCTTTAATGGGCCTGAATTTATAATGTCATACATTAATCAGAACAAATAATAAGGTCCATAACCTTTTTCAAAGAATGCATTCCTTTATTTATCAAACTTTAAATTTACATTATAAGTATTAACGATTGAGTACTAGGTAAAGAATACAAATAAAACAACAAAATCTGAAGAACTTTGATTGTACATGTATTCCTATGCTGTACTATAATCCATAGTTAAACAATATCTTTTCAAATCATTGTTTATGTATATATCCACAAGTATCTATATATCATATTTTTGTATACTTTTGTAATCTATATATGTGTTTGATGGATCTAATATAAATTAAATGGAGTTGCATTGAGGCAAAACAGCTCCTTTATCAATGATATTAGCATTGCTGCAAGTTGCTTTCCCTCCCTTAATGTTCACTTTGTCAAGCACAATGCCTTGGCATGGATAGTTCTTGCTGCAATTAAATGTTATTGCCATGTCCGACGCGCTTGTGCCGCTTATGTTCCGGTACACCACGTTCTTCACTTGGACCGCAGATTTCTGAAAACATGTATACAAAAAAATGATTAGATCCAACAATATAACTATAATTACCATGATATGAATATTGGAAGATTAATTTGATCAGATATTCGAGAGTGAACCTGCGAAGTGCATTTGCTCTTGTCACAATATTCTTGGTCGATTATGATCGGATTCTTCACATTCTCCATCTCTATGTTCTGAAAGACAATGTTGCTAGCAGTTCCTGATCCTCCCTGAAATGGATTAGATTAGATTTCAAATCAGAAACAAAGTAGGGCTTATATATATATTTGAGAGTTTTTAAATTAAAGGGCTAGTTTGTGACATTTCACCTGGTAAGTTTTGATTCTAACTCCATTGTCCGTGCCGGAAAGCTTAGCACCATCCACTGTAACGCCTGATACAAATGCCTTTGTGTTGTCATCTCCCAAGCTTCCAATGCTGCTCATGATTCAAAAATTAGATTTGCAATTTTTTATATGAATATTTAACCAAAACAATATATATAAGAAAAGATCATTTTAGGTGTGTATATATAAGAGAAAACAATTCTTTTGATACCTGATGCCGTGACCAGGACCGCAAGTTATATCATTGATTTGAACATTTTGTGATCCACTTTCAATAGATATACAATCATCGCCTGTTTAGAAAAGCAACCATTTAAAATTTTGTTTTGGATATATATCCGTAAATCATGATACAGCCCTGAAATTTAGCTTCTTGATATGCAAGCAACTCTTTTTAAAAATAATAAAGAAAAATCAATTAATAACCTGTTCCAATGATGGATTTGGAGACTCTAATGTTTTGGGTGTTTGTGATATGAATACCATCAGTGTTAGGACTATCCGCTGGTGCAGTTACCACCACATTAGAGACCTGAACGTTGGAGCATTTCTCAATCGATATCTGAATCTGCTGCGCATTTCTCACCCTCAGATTATTCACTCTCAAGTTCTTCGAGTTGTAGAAAGTAAGAGCCTGCAATAAGCAATATACAAGAAAACACACTAGTCCAATTAATTATGATCAAAATACCAACATTATTTTTTGGAAAAATCAAATAAAACCATATGAACGTACCGTGGGGGCTTTTGTGCATGGCTGCATATATATATTAAAAGGGAAAAAAGTGTGTTAATATCTCCAATAAGTCGATTACCTTGAGGATGACATATGTAGATGAATATTACAACACACCTTAGCTTTGTTCCGTTTGCATGAGTTCTCCCACCACGTTTCGCCATTTCCGTCAACAGTCCCGGTGGCGTCGCCCTCAACAGATAGATCGTTAACGTTGTCAAACGTTATCCATTTGCTGATATCTTTGTAATCCGATCGTTTTTGAGATGCTGATAACGTTCCAAATATCTGCCGTCCCATCAACCAAAAGCTCGTTTCAAAATCCACAAACATATATATGATCATGTATTTTCGGTTTTAAGTTAACAAAAATAACAGTTTTTTTTTTTGTAATTACCTGAACGGTAAGAATAGATTTGCATGGACCCGTAAACTGAATAGACTTAAGGAGATAAGTGCTCCCTTTAGGAACTAGTAGATTAACAGCTCCATTTGAAGAGCATGCTTTCTTCCACGCATTCACGAACGCCTAATCAAAGCATGCATGCATGGTACACATTAGTACCAAAAACAGTTTTATATACTAATAAAAATAAATAAAAATAAACTTTAATTTGTATATGTATGCCTGTGTATCATCGGTTTCTCCATCTCCTTTAGCTCCAAATTCAGAAACACTAACGGTCGTTGGAGTTCGTAAAGAAGCTCTTACGAAGCTTTTCAAGCCCGTAATGTCGTCTCTTCGCTTGATTAAGCTATTTTTATAAGAATGGTCATATCCCTTAACGCTAATTCTCGAAGCTTCGCACCATGTGAGCATCAAAAGAGCCCATAATAGGAAAAGGGTAACAAGCTGTTTGGAATAACGGGCCATATTGAGGTTGGTATATAAGGAAATGGGTGTGTTGTATTTTTTGGGGGTAGGTTGAGAATGTTTGATGTTTGTGATTGATCTTGTCTTTGTGTTGCTTTGTTTTTGGAATTGGAGAAGAGTGGACGTACGTTTATTTATAGGCAAATCAGAAGGAACGTTATATGTTAGGTTTCTTAAACTTGAATGAGTTCGAGGTATGGAGTGAAATTGAGATTGTCACGTAAACATAACTTTGCGCATCTATTTTTTTTTTTCATTTTTTTTTTTTTTTATTTGGTTCTTTTAGAGTTTCAAATTTTTACACTCTCTCTCTTTCTCTCTATCTCCATTGTTAAATGAATTTATTTTAAAGATTTGGTTGTCTCGTAGCGAGACCATGCTTATCGTATTTTCTGCAAGAAACATCGCTTAAGGATTTAAGGTAATTGAAGGTTTTTGCCTTTTTTAACGAATCTAGTTATCTCGGCTAGATTATTGGTTATATTGACTATGAGTAGTGTGGGATTTTATTCCAATAAATTATGGATGATGATGGGTATAAAGAAAACATGATAAGATTCAATTATATCTTCAGAAACATGTATAACTTATGAATGTGTGCCATAAATTCAAATTTACGTGCCATAGAGGATACATGAGCTATAACAACACAATAGGAATAAAGAAGCAGGTTTCGTTAGGGGAAGTCGTAATTTCGTGTACTCTGAAGATGTGTGCGTAATTTTAGTAAAGAAAAAGCCGAACTTATATGTTCGTGAAGGTTCGTTTCATCAGTTGAAATGGCGATATATAACTACCCTTCAAGTTCACGTGACCGCCGCAATTTCGTCCTCGTTCATCTCATTGCTTATTATAAAAAAAAATATTAAATTTGGCGTCTGTATAGTCAATTTAGCCACGCCATTTTAGACTTTTGTTTGTTTGTTTGTCAAGTCGGATCGTAATTGGATACTATTATTTGTTCATCATCCCATCACCCACGTAAGTCGATTTATTATTAATGCATGGATAAAAGTTAAAGAATCTGACCTCACACCCAAAAATAAAAGTAACGAAAGACAGAACTACATTATATTTGGGACAATCTCTTTAAAAACGAAGACAAAACATCCCATTTTTCTTGTCAAATAACTTTAAAAGTCTTAGCAAAAACAAAAATAATTTTTTTTAAAAGGATATGCACAAGAAAACGTTCTAATGAACGACGTCGTTCGTTAAATTCTACTATAGCGCTACATACGTATGCCGTATGGGAAGCAAAGTTAGGCGATGCACGTGAGACTTAATTAGAGAGAGTTAAGCAAATGTGTCTGCCGTTGAACAAATATGTGTGTATTATTTTACTTGTGCAATTTTAATTTGTGAGCATGGTCTGATATTCCAAATTAGCACGTGGTCAAAATTTTCCAATGAGTTTTCACACATGATTGAGCAGTAAAATATAAACCCATTTTGTACGTGTTTCTTCTAGAAAAGCAAGAATCGATACGTGAACCCTTAAAATTAGCTAGTAGCAAGTTCTAATCTGACTTTAATTTTCCAGCATAACAGTTTCGTTAGAACATAAGCGAAGCTACGTTAAACAAAAAAAGTTTGACTTACGGATTTAAAAGAAAAGTTCTTAAACAACTAACAATACCAACTTCCTAAATCAACGGGTGAGACTACTGCCCATGCATGCATATCTTTCTGAGTAAAAACTAGATTAACGTACAAAAGGTAATTATCGACTAAATAATAATAATATATATATATATATATAATTTGACCTTTCAATACTATATACGTAGATTAAAAACGTATGTATACATCAAAAGGATGAGTCATATGTGTGAAGCTTGCGAGCTAGAGACCCAACGGTATGGACGAAAGCGTGACTTCTGGGAAATTTTTCAAGTTGTTTTAAAACTCTCCTTAATTGTAGGTTCTTGTTCATACTTGAATTTCTATTTTTTTTGTGATGGTTGGTTGGGATTCAATATACATATTATTCTTCTGTACATATATATATATATATATATATATGTATTGTACATTTTATTGTGACCTTAAAACTCCATTTTTACTTTTTTAGAAATAGGCTTTGCCATAAAGAAAAGTCATTTCGGCATCGAATAGAATTGTGTTCTCACTTTATTTTTTTTACAAAACAATCAGAACAGAACGTAAAATAAAGAAATAGAAAAAACCATAAACATAAGATTTTTTATAAATTTTTTAAATTTTTTTAAATTTTTTATTTTTTGTCAACAAATCTATTAGATTGGCTTAAGAAAAAGCTTTTCAATGAACATTACACTATTGTATATCATATGATATGTCATATCCTTTGTTGCGTAAGAAATTTTATGGTACAACCAAAAATAACGTGATATTTCACACATTTGCGTTGGCATTTTGATAAGGATCTATATACATCCAAGTTGGATGATCCAACTCTGTCCATGCATATATGGATATGCACCGAAAACGGTATTTATATATATATGTCTCGTAGAATATTCTAAATATAGAATAACAAATTGAATCATTTACTGGTCCAATTTTTTTTTTTTAGCTGAATTCTTTGATGGGATTTGTTATAGAAAACGAAAAACCTTGTTCGTGCACATGATAAGGAAAAAAAAAACTCTTTAGTAACATAAATTTTGAATTTATTAGATAGAACTAAAATATTATTTTTATTTTTTATTAGAAGATACTATTATCCTCAAACTTTGGTGGTCTAGCCTAGCTTATAGCTAAAATTGCAAAAAATATGTTTCGAATTTCCATAATTCTTCTATACACACAGATATCAGAGAGACATCAACCGTTTGGATCACACATATCATAGTTCTTGTGCTTCCTTTTTGATATAAAAAACAAAGAAAATAAAAATAGAAACGGATAGACGCCCATAAGAGTTGAAGAAGAGGTGTTGTGTACAACTAGATATATCAATATATATTTATAAATTTATAAAGATGTTTCAGTTAAATTAGTTGGTCCTGAAATTATGGAAAGACCACAAATCACAAAATCACAAATCGACCATTCACACGGCAAATTGTGGATAAAATGCATAGTGCCAAGGAATTGAGTTGAGATGACTATGATAATGTTCTTTTCAGAATTAATAAAATTTGCATCAGGTGTTCTACTCCGTTATTATTTCTTATATTTCTATATCTTATAATAATTTGTAACTTGAGAACGTAGAAGTACTACGTACATACGACTTTCTTCTTTACGTATTTTGCCAACTTTATAATATCTGTAAGGTAAACGAAATAACCGAACCAACGTAATCGCCGTCAATTACGATCATTTTACTATGTTACGTACACAATTCACAAAGAAACAAAAAAATTATTAATGATCTTCATTTTCCTCACATACAATTAATTAATCTACACAAACGGGCTTCTTCTGATCATATGCTTGATCATTCAACAATAATATAAAGGCCTAAAGCTTAACTGATACCCGTTGAAAACTAACTAACAAGTTGTGAGAAAGTGAAGACAAAGAAAACACCAAAAAGAAAGAACCTTTGATTCAGATTCAATTCAATCTTCTGCGACTGATAAATTAATAAGTATCTTTGTCGCGGATTCCAAGCTTTTATCTACTTTGTATCTCCATTAGACTGCAAGGAACCGTCTTTCATCAACTTAAGACTAAGACTCTTAAACAGGTCCCTCGAGTACTGCCTCGAAGCTTTTCTCCAATCCGTTCCCGTTTTCATCATGGTTGCAAACTCTTCATAACTTATTTTTCCATCCTGCCAAAAAAAATAATTTCCGATTCAAGGACACTTAAATTATTAGCCTTTTTACGCATTGTAAAGAAAGATTTTTATATTTCAAATTGTGTCTACCAACCTTATTGGTATCGACATCGAGGATAATGGCTTCAATAACTTCTTCACTAGTAGTATCAACATCATTTGCCAAAGCATCTCTTAACTCCTCTATTTCGATATAACCACTCTCGTTTTTGTCAAAGAACGTAAAGGCTTTCTTTAAGTGCTCGTCGTTGCCTAACTTCTTGATGTGTACCGATATGGCTACAAATTCATTGACGTCTAAGTAACCATCTTTATCAACATCTCCCTGTTTACAAAAAAACCAGCTAGCGTCAATGCCATTTTGCATGTGAAATTTTTTGATTCAATAATTGCTTAAACAGCTTACCGCGTCCATCAAGATTTGAATGTCATCTTGAGGAACGACAATCCCGAGTTTCTGCAATCCGATTCCTAGCTCGTTGATGGTAATTTTGCCTCTATTGCCTGTGTCCATTACTTGAAATCTATCTTTTATGCAAGATGTTTCTTCTTCTGATAGATGCTCAGCAATAACCTATGGAAGGAAAGTAATTATAAATCTCAAGCTCCTTCGAATGCATAAAATTCTAGACCATATGTCTTGTAGATAAGAAATTAGTACATACCCTGAGTGCCCTTTTCTTGAGCTTGTTCATAATAGAGAATTGTTGAAGCCTTGCTCTTACGGTTTCACCTAATGAAACATTGGGGGCATTTTTACCATTCTGTATCCATGGATGATCTGTAAACAAAAGATGATTGTTATGTCTTAATACTGATTTCATATGATGAAGTAAAACAGTATCGCATTTTTGAAAGCAGAGATGATACCAAGGACTTGTTGAGCTGTAAGACGACGCCTTGGATCAGGATGAAGCATCTTCTTTACCAGATCTTTTGCATTTTCAGAAACTTTGGGCCAAGGCTCTCTTCTGAAATCAACTACAGATTTAAGAATAGCTTTTGCGACTCCATGTTCGGTTTCTGTAAACATACAAGATAGAAAAGGTGTCATTACCTTTGTAGTTTTTACAAAATACACACAAAATTCAAATGATTTGACAAAACTAAACCTGCCCAAAAAGGTGGAACACCACAGAGCAATATATAAAGAATGACCCCTGCGCTCCAAATGTCAATTTCTGGTCCATAACTTCTCCTTAATACCTCGGGAGCCATGTAGTAAGGACTCCCAACGATTTCGTTGAATCTCTCGCCTGTAAACAAAACACTAGTGGGTTAAATATTGCTTCCAACACCACAAAACCGAGCAGCCTTGCCAAAGCCACTAATTATGATAATTAATATACATCACCTGGTTTAAAGAAAACAGAGAGACCAAAATCAATAGCCTTCAAAGAAGCAGTTTCTTTCTTGTTTGCAAACAAAAAGTTCTCAGGTTTTAGGTCTCTGTGCATTACCCCATGCTTATGACACATCTGCAAAACACATTTAGGCAAGCCACATTACCCTCACATAAAAACGTGCCTTTCAAGCAATGTTACATATCAATCATGTCCAAACAAGAAGAAAAAAAACGCCCTTCACGAACCTGAACAACCTCAATGATTGTCTTAATAACCGAAGCTGCAGCTCTCTCAGTATAATGCCCTCTAGCCACGATCCTATCGAAGAGCTCACCGCCTTCACAAAGCTCCATAACCAAATGAACAGCCTTATCATCCTCATAAGTCTCTTTCAAAGTAACAATGTTGGGATGTTCAGGCATATGCCTCATGATCTCAACTTCTCTCTTGACGTCCTCTATATCAATAGACGTTTTCAGCTTCTTCTTTAAGATCGACTTGCATGCAAAAACCTCACCGGTCTCGATCTCGGTGCATAGATACGTGACCCCAAACTCTCCTCGACCTAGCTCACGACCCAACTTGTATTTAAGCTTGATCTCGTGACCCGTTGGCTCCTTCAACACGGTAAGCTTAAGGCCATCGTGGTGGTTACCGTAATCGTTTGAGAAAGGATTTGGCAATTTAAAACCTTTCTTCTGTTTATCGTTCTGAATCAACGATCCCGCTGTTCCACAACAATTCCCCATTATATACCAAAGCCGTGACCAATTCTACTAACCGATTAAAACCTTCTTGAAAGAAGGGACAAGAACCCTAGAAAAACGGGAAAGCAAGTAGGAGAAATGGTATCAAAGGATCTTTGACTTGGAACCAGAGAAGACGAAGCGAATCATATCAAAGGGTTTGTTTTTCTTCAATTTCTACAGAAAGTTCAATTTTTTAAAAAAATTATTGAAGACAAAACTACAGAGAGATATGGAAGGAAGAAAGAAAACAAAACAAAAAAAGTTCACAAATTCTTTCCCTCCCTAATCTCTCTGTCTTTTCTTGTTATCCTGATTTCTGTTTTTTTTTTTTAATCAGATATGTCCTACTTTAAATAATTTATTTTTAGGGCTTCGTTTTTCTCGTGATGTCCAAGCAAATCTAAAAAATACCTAATTTAAAGAAATCTTAAATCTTTAGTATTTGATTTGATATGTGGAGAACATTGACTCAAGGAGAAAACCAATTTTTTGCTTAAATTAATCTTTCTGGTTAAAACACTCAAAATCAACATACATGAAGTCATGAACGAACGCCTAAGTAGTATCTATATATATTTAAGAGGCATACGGATGGATCTGAGTTGCCATTTTTTTTTTTCGTTAAACACTTCTAATCTCCAATGCAGCGAACAGAAATAAAGTTAGCTTCAATGCTACAACATTTGATGTTTCTTTTACATTCTCTATAGTGTTTCTTTTGGTAATTTTTTTGTTCTATGTTATTTCTCTGTAGTGGTGGTATATATTTACCGTGAAATAATCACCAATTGAGTTAGATGTATATTGTTTCTTGTTTTTTTTTTTATGAAAAGAGATTTAAATTTGTGTGTTGGTTTGAATTACAAACAAAACAAAACAGTTTAATTTGTTCAGTTGATAATTGATTCAATTCTATTTTATGAGTTTTTAGTTTATTTATCATATTGTTTAAACTTATTCTCTCCTTTTCTTTTTAATGATGCATGTTTTAACCCAAAAAATTGTTTCATTTTAAATGGCGTCTTCAACTTTTTGACCAATTGTATTTTACATTTTATTTTCTTATTAGTTGAATTCATTTTAATTAATGATGTTTTCACAAAGAGTGTCACTTTGACACATTTCACACATATTAAGAAAACATTTAACTTTACATATATACTCTTATTTAATGGTTTAATTAGTTATGGTTGACACTTTGGAAATTTAGTGTAAAAATTACATTGAAAATATAAAATGACGCTCTTTGTGAAACAAGAATAAAACTCTAAATGCACTCTTTGTGAAACAAAAGGAGTATTTTATTAATCTGTGTATAACAATTTTAAGCATCAGTTAAAAACGGAGAGAGAAGTATTTAATTTACCTATAGGAATATTGATCGGAGGATCGAGTTTTGAGGCCAAGAAATCTTTTCGTTGCAGCCATATTTAAGGTAGAGAAAAACACAACCAACCGAGAAATTAAGAGTGGGGACATGCACTGGACACTCAATAAATTTATAGAAAGGAACGATTCAAGAAACGTTTTATTCAAGAAAAGAATCTTGTTTTAAGTTTGGACCTGGTTTGATTTTATGTGGATAACATTCATCGAAGAGCTTTCAGCTATACAAAAGATCTCATGCTTTCAGCTATACAAAAGATCTCATGTAAGCCTCATATGCAACCTTGTTGGATTAAAAATCATTAAACCTCTCTACGTTCGGTCTTTTATAAGTAAAACCTACGTACGTATTATAACATCACTATTCTTCACAAACAAAACGTTCCTTATTCCTTTTAATAATAAGTTTCTTCCATTATTTCTTCAGAAAAAAAAGGACTCGTTTCATCGACCACTTGAAAAGAAAAAAAATCATGATTATGAATCTTGCACAGCCATCAAGTTTAACATTTGTTCTATTTTCTGTTAAGCTAGTCCTTTTTCTCGCTATACGTTTCTTTAGGTCCACGAAACAGAAAGGTCAGCTTCCTCCGGGGCCACGGGGATGGCCTGTTATTGGAAACTTGGCGTACCTCAGCCTAAACCGACCAACTTACCTGTGGCTACACGACGTCATGGAAAGCATGAAAACGGAGATAGCTTGCTTCCGTTTCGCACGCGTTCACGTCATCACTGTAACCTCAAGCGAGATTGCTCGAGAAGTGGTTAGAGACAGGGACGAGGCTTTTGCTGACCGAGTGGAGTCGTACTCGAGCAATATCATAAGCGAAGGCTATAAGGACGTGATTTTTTCTTTCTACGGGGAGAGGTGGATGCTGCTAAAGAAAATGATGGTGGCCAAACTAATGTCACCGACAATGCTGAAGAAGTCCCTAAGTGATAGAACTCTAGAAGCGGATAACATCGTTGCGTATGTCTTCAATTTATGCCAATTAGGGTGTACAAAAACAAAAGTCAATGTGAGAGACATCACGGGTATTTATTGCCATGCCGTGATGATGGTGATGATGTTTGGTCGGAGGCATTTTATAGAAGCGACCGAGAATGGTAATGGTCTCGGACCGAAAGAGAAAGAACACATGGACGCAATATATCGGTCTCTTGATTGTTTTTTCAGCTTTAACGTAACGGATTACATCCCTTGTCTTAGAGGATGGAACCTAAATGGAAAGGAGGCGGAAGTTAGAGAAGCGGTTGATATAATCAACAAGTGCAACGACCCGATCATCCACGAGAGAATGCATTTGTGGAGGGACAAAGGTGGAAAAGAGACGGGAGAAGATTGGCTTGATATCTTAATCACGCTAAAAGATGACCAAGGAAGGTTCTTATTCACATATGATGAGATTAGAGCTCAATGCAAGGTTTGGTGATGTTCATCACTATGCTTACAATTAATACGAGGGTCTAACTAATATTCAAGTATAGTTTCAAAATATATATATATACATAATTACGTCCCCCAGTATAAATTTTTTATATTACAAAAATCCTAAGGTTTGATAAAATCTTTATGCATATATTTTGTTATATGTAGGATATCAATATTGCGACCATCGATAATACGATGAATAACGTGGAGTGGACTATAGCAGAGATGTTGAATCATCCAGAGATTCTGGAGAAAGCCACAAATGAATTGGACATGATAGTTGGCAAAGACAGATTTGTGCAAGAATCAGACATACCACAACTCAACTACATCAAAGCTTGTAGCAGAGAATCTTTCCGGCTTCACCCAGTCAATCCGTTCATGCTGCCTCACAGAGCTCGAGAAGATACTACCCTCGCAGGTTATTTTGTCCCCAAAGGTAATATATAACTCATGCATGCAGCAGAGGTAGGGAACTAAAGAACTAAATTGAACCAAACCAAATTGATCAATCTGATCTCGAACCATATTTAAATAATTTAATTTAACAAACTGCACAAGTGAGAGTGAGCATGAGCATGAGCTAACATGTGAAATATGCATATAGACGAAGGTTATAAACCGACTAATCAATTTCATTTTATTTTTTTGGATTTACACTTACCCGTTTTTTTTCCTCAGCCAACTCTTTCTTAACATTTTAATTGGTTAAATTTTTTTTTGTTAAAAGCTTCAGAGAAAATCTGGTAGGAACCATGTTGAATACAATGAAACTAACAATATAATTAGAAAATTTTCGAATTTTTTAAAATGTGTGTTGAAATATCAAAACGGTGAATAGATGTCATTAAGATATATATAAGTTATCTTCCTATGTCCACCGTTAAAATGTTAAATAGGACTATGGGCCAGGCAAATATGTTCATGAGTTCACACTTCACAGCATGCTTGTGTGTTTACAAACCATGTGGTATCTGCTTGATTGCAATGATAGGTAGCCATATTCTTGTGAGTCGTCTAGGACTTGGTCAGAATCCTAAGATATGGGACGAACCAAATGTTTTCAAACCAGAACGACACCTCGATGGACATGGTGGGAACTCACTGAGCGTGAGTTTAATGGAACCGGATATGCGGCTCGTGACATTCGGCACCGGTAGGCGTGGCTGCTTAGGATCTAAGATTGGGATATCTATGACCATCATGTTACTAGCCAGGCTTCTCCAAGGTTTCGAATGGAGCCACCTTCCTGGTACAAGTAAGGTCGATCTCATCCCAGCAGATCGTAATTTGTTCATCGCGAAGTCTCTACTGGCATCTGTGAAACCTAGATTGACTCAGCGTATGTATCCGAAATTGCAAACAAGGTGATGACATATTGATGGTGAGTAATTGTAAAACTTTTAAGTTATTTTGTATTGCCATTACTATAAAGAGCAATAAGAGAAAATCGAAAAAGCTTTAAAATTCTACCTAAGGGAGCTACCAAAACTCATCTAAACCCATAGAAAAGCTGGCCACTCCAACTTTTTATATATATATACCATATTCAGCTACACGGAGCAATCCAATTCAAGCACTATCGCATGACGTCCGATGGGCAATGGCTATAACTCATTTCATCGCCCACATCAAAATTTGACTAGGCATGTAATTGTAATAATTTTCTTTGGTTTTTACTTTTTACACTACGCCAAACAACACAATTTAACAAATGTAATATTTGGGGATTCATCAAGTTTGAGTCATACACTTAGTACCTCTAATCAGCATATATGAATGGTATAATAAAATTCTACTTGATTTTTTTCATCTTTTTTTTTAACAAACTCATAACAGAAACTTGAGTTGAATTAATTCCACTTTTTTTTTTGTTTATTTCAGATTTGGATCACACACCACTTCTGTATGGACTAAGAAAAGTATAAAACCACACAACAGTACTACGTACGTACACTCTCATTTATGCGTATATTATAACCTAAATGTCCCCTTTTTTAGCAAATATAACTAATATGTATATACAACAAGTAATGTTTAATTTAATGGTTTGATTATACACACAAAAAAAAAAGAAAAAAAAAAAAGGAACTAGGAGGAAGAGAAGAATGAGCGTTTGGGAGGAGGGCGTCCGACAGCTCTCAAGAGATTAGCAACTTCAACAACTTTTGCAACCTCTGTCCCTCTCTTTGCCTCTGCCGTCGCTCTTCTCTCCTCTGCTTTCCTCTTTGCTTTTGCCACTTTGTTTTGCGTTTTCTCCATCGCTTTCGCTTTTCTCTCCTCTAGCTTCCTCTGCATCCATCCATTGATCCCAATATATATATGTTAGCTAAACTTATTCATATATATTCTCACAATATCATGAATCCCGGTCATAAGGCCTGGTACAATCCACAACATTTGTGAATATAAAAATCCCCCATACTTCAGATTAAAAATCTTACGTAACTATGTTGTTAATATAAAAATTATGTTAATAAAATCTATCATCGTACATATGGGACCGGAAATTACTTGTTTAAGAAAAAAAAAAGAAAAATTCACCTCGATTTTCTTCATCCAAGAATTGGCCTTGTTGACTTGTTCATTAACCCAACCGTTAATAACGGCGTCTTCTCTCTTAAACCTGTTATTGATCTTAGCCAGTTTTGCCGTCTGCCACGCCGTTATCTTCGCTTCCACCTCTTCCCTCTTCACCCTTTGCACCGTCGTCGTCCCAACCCGACCCTGACCCTGACCCGGTCCATTCTCACTTCCAGAATCCAAAACCGGACTCGGATACTGGTCAGGCACAATTGCCAAAGGATTCGTCTCCTCTTCATGATGATCCCTCTCCTCGTGAATCCTCATCAAGTCGTGTTGTCTCTCATCTTCACGCTGCGTGACGTTACGAGCCGTTGGTTCGTTGTTTTCCATGGAGGAGCCGGCGATGACAAGAGCGTTGAACTCTCTGCTTATAGTTGTGAAGTTCTCTCCTGAAGAAGCTCCTTCGCTCATGGTAGTTGCTGACCTTGGTGGAGAAAAATAGCCTCGGAAAGCAGGCGGTGGAGGCAAAGTCGTCGTCGTCATCGTCCGGGAGTTATCCTCCGGCGTCGGAGTTAGCGCGTGGATGTCTCTCACGATAGTCTCCGTCGTCTCATCATCTCTGTGGTTACTTGTGGCGTCCGGTGACCTTTCTTGACCGTAAAGAGTCAGCATAGTTTGAGAATTAGGGTTTACGAATTGTGATCGTCAAAGAAGAAAGAAGATCATGATCAAACTAGTTTTTATCTCTTCTGACCTCAGGCAAGCTAAAATTTGGTTTTGGTAATGATTTTTTTAGCTCTGATTTTGATTAGATTAGAGGAAAAAAAAACACTACGCGACAAAAGAAAAGGATTAAGGAAAATAGAATTCTCAAGAAGGTCTATCAAAATTTTAAAATATGAAAAAGGACCACTTCGTGAACACTACATTGGTCCGGTATATAGCGACTGCATTTAACCTTCTGATACGTGCTTGTCTATGATGCTGATGATGATAAGTCAAGAGACCAAAAAATAATAATATTAATGATAAAAATGTGATCAAGTATAATATTTTCACATATTCCAAGCTAAAACTGTGCCGTAATTCTCAAGGTCGAAACAACAAATGTACCAGCGAGCGATACTATGAAGTTTTATTAAGCATTATAGGATTATTGTCTTTTTAGGAGAAAAGATTTGTCAAGATTTCTTAAGAAATTTTTTTATAAGATGTAAAATCAAACGAAGAAAGAGTGTCGGCAAGTTTTAAGACCCTACCACGAAGACAAGATAGTATACACATGTCGCCTACGAAAGATTGTTGTCAACGTGGACATATCTGATTAGTTGAATATTCCCTCCAAAATCAGGTCACGTATGTCCGCATCATAATGGCTTGGAGTCTGGATATACCATTTGTGAGTGGCCACGTATCGTATTTTTCTGATTAGCTTTGTAGTGATTTTATTTTATTTATAACAATTTGTTATAACTGTCTGCTATGTCTATTTATACGACGTGTTAATGTATTATAACAGCATGTAGAACTAGAATAAATTGTATTATTTGATCTCTTAAATTAAATTGTATGTATCACACATTTCACGTTTGATTAAAACATGTTTACTAAATGTATATTATCAAGACGTGGTCCATTTTTATATATTAGTAAATTTATAGATGAAATTATTTTGAAAAATTTGCTTCTCTGACAATCATAACATCCTTTTTTTTTTGGTTTCCTAAACAGACCATCATAACATCCTTTTTTTTTTGGTTTCCTAAACAGACCATCATAACATACCTCCTATGTTCTCCACATTGCTTTTTTTTTTCCTGTATTCATATTCGTATGCCCCCCTATAAAATTTATGTGTTTTATAGTGAAATTAAAAGTTGACTTATACATATAATTACTTGTATCGTTTGAGACCATATACTTTATTTAGCCTTCAGAGAGATGCTACAAATAAAATGGTTAGTTGACATTTAAGCATGTAAAACTATTAATTCATCTAGATGTAAGAAAATGTCTTTGCTAAGTTTATATTTAAATATAGTTAATATTTTTTGGAAAAATTCAAATAGTATTTGTACTTCTTGATTGACTATCAACATTAATTTATATTATATCTTTTAAGGAAATTAGACAAAATACTTAACCAACTAAATAAACTATTTATATAATGAATTATATAAACTAATCAAAATCAAAATTATATGGAACTATACACAAATGTTGAACAAGACTATGGACAAAAGTTGATGATCAACCGATTTCATATCAAAATACCAATATAAAATTAGATAGAAGAGGAAGGTTATACACATAGCAGTTTTAAGAATGTAGCAAAAGCTCATAAATTAGTGACTGGCGATGATATTAAGTTTGATATAGTTGAGTCACTGGATCGCCATATAAAATTAGTGCATTCTATCCTAATACATTTTCAGGACAATAAAATTTTAGATTATCCAAATGCACTGGAAGAGTTTATTTATGATTTAAAGCAAAATCTCAATTGATAATTGATTCAATTCTATTTTATGAGTTTTTAATTTATTAATCACATTGTTTAGATTTATTTAACCATCTAACGCTTATGTACCTATAGGATTGAAGCTTGGTAGCTAGTGATATTTTTTTAACAATTTGTTATATCCGTCTACTATGTCTTTTTGTTATGCATATATGTCTTATTAATGTATTACTTCAATTAATTACAGCATGTAAATTTTGATTATCCTATACATAGGCACTTAAAAGTTTTAGGCAAATAGTGTTTATGTGGTATAATTAAGTCTAGAAATCAAAATTTACATCACAGGCTCGTCAACAAAAGGAAAAAAGAGAGTGTACGTACGTGTTCAATATAATGGCAACGAGATCAAACATCCATGAAAAGGCTAGTGATGATATCGCCAACAATATGTATGCCATCCAAAAGTATTATGTTTTGTGGTTTCTGAACTCAAATTTGTCTATGTTTTCGGGAGAGAGAGAATCTCCTTGATGTCATCCGCGTAGATTGAACCTGACTCAAAGAAGAGCATCCATATTGTTAATACATATATCATGCAGTCATTGTTGGGAGATGTTATATCTTCAGGGCATTATGATATCTTCATGTCTTCTCCCCTTCCATAAGAAATTACTACTATACACAAAAAGGGCTTTGGAGACTAGCTCCCTCCATCTTTTTTTTTATCTTCAGTCACTAAATAGTGTTTATCATTTTAAGATTCGAGTTTTAGAATTAAAAAAATATGTGAGATAATGAGTGGAGGTGGTATCCACTTACACTAAGCTATATGACTTTGTTTCCTTAATCTGAAGCATTCCAACTTGTTTCATTTGTGACCCAAAGAATTTAAATGATAGAGAGAGAGTAATCAAATATTTTGTTCTCTCTCTTTTTTTTTTTCTTTTTTTTAATGAGAAGTGGGAAATAAGGAGTCACGTATTCCTATCCGATCACATATTTAGAGGCTCAATTATGTTAGAGCTATCTGTTTGAATCCATCTGTCGAGAACATAGATAGACACGGGCACTCAAAATTGTAAAGCTTTTAACAATTAGTCGGTGCATTATCCCTGATCGTTGTGTTTTTTTCTTGTTTGGTTTCTCAAAATCAGAAACACCCAACCCATATGTCATTCTAACTCTTGAGTACACTGTACACTGGCTCCATGTCAATGGTTAACCTCCAGAATATGTCATTCTAATCTTCTATTTGATCATTGATAACATCAATTTATATAATGAAAATACAGCAACAACATTAATAAGTAATTAACACAAAGGAAAAAAAAAAGTCGGTGATTTATAAATTTTTTTTTATCGTAAATCGATCGGAACCAAATCCAACTTTATTTCAAGTTTCAACCTTACGTATATATACACAGTTACACATACAGAAAATGAAAGTCAAATTATCATATTACTAGTGTAACTTATTAAATTAAAAATATCATCTTAAATAAAACTAAAAATTGATTTGACAACTAAAAGTGTGAAATAAAATTAAAATAAAAAACAAAATATAAGAGCCACCTCCTTGACTGGCGTAGTCTCACTATCTATTATTTCTCTTCGACCTATATAATATAACAAGGACGTGCCACCGAGAGAGAAAGAGAGAGAGAGAGGCAGCTCTGCCTTTGCCTACACCGAGATAGAGACTCGATCATCTCCAAGTTGTCTCCTTCTTTCATAATCCAGACATTTAATATATATATAATTCAAAAAAGGATTTTAAATCGAGACAAAACTTTTTGAGTTAGATCGAATCTTATTATTGCAATTATATATATATTTTTTTTAAAGCTGAGCTTATATCTCCTTTTGAAACCCTTGGAATTGTTTCGTGTAATCCCAAAAAGAAAGCTTTCGTCTTTCTCCTGTTTCAGGTGTTCATCCTCGAGGTACGGTTACATGGGGTTCTTGTATTCTCATTGCTACTTTTTTTTTTATTATCGATCTGTGTGTTACGTTACGGTTCCTGTCTTTATTTCCATGAATTCTGCATTTGGGTTTTGACTAAAGTGTTTCATTTCTTTTAATCATGGGAACCTGATTCCTTGAATTCTTGTTGAAACTTAGATAAAAGGTTTGTTTTTTAAATTGTATATATTTTTGGCTCTATTTGATCCCTTCTATGTGCTTGTAGTGCCCTTTGCTCAGGCTGTGTTGTTCTTCTTCTTCTTCTTTGGAGGCTTAGAATCTCTCTATGGTGAGCCTCTTTGGCTACTCACTCTCATTGCTAGAGAGCTCTCTAGTTTTTTTACATTGGATGGTTGCTGATCATTCTGATTCTATGTTCTATTATTCCTTCATTATTTCTGATGGGTTTTTCATTTTCATTGCTGTTGTTAGGGAGAAGCTCCAGCGTTTCTAGTGAATCATCTGGAGAACGGACACTCCAATGGCGTCGGTGTAAAATCTGAATCCGAGATCACTGAGATATCAGTCGATATCGGCGATCGAACGGTAAGCTAACTTAAGGTTTTGGTCCAAGTTTTGTCTAAACTGGTTGATCATTATCTGATTTGAGGTTTATTTTGGGTAGTTTGTGATTGGTGGAAATCATGAAAGGAACACTTTTTCCATTGGGGTTCGAATTCATGACAAAAACAGTAACAACTGGTGGGTGAATGCTATGTAGTTTCTAGATATTCTGTGGCAAGAACTCTACTTTTAATGTCAGGAAGAAATCTTATAGATTTGAGAATCACTTGGTATTGTAGGTTTAGTCCTATTGTGCTTGGGACAGGTCCTAAGCCCAGCAAGGGGTACTCCGCGTCTGTTCTTAAACAAGGTCGGATTTTGGTTATTAAGAAAGGTTCAGCTTGCAATGACTCCATCTGGTTCCTTGAGGTTAGTAATTTCTTGCAGCTGTTTAGTATCTCTGAGAGTATCATTCCGGAGTTCTCATGTGTTGGAACATTAATAGGTAGATAGTCCTTATGTGAGGGAACATAAGAAATTACTAAGGAAGGAAGTTGTTGCTTGGAGTAAAGGTGTGAGAGGGAATGCCGAGAAGCCTATTGTTATTAGCGGTCCTTCTGGAGTTGGCAAAGGAACGCTTATCTCAATGCTTATGAAGGAGTTTCCTTCAATGTTTGGGTTCTCAGTGAGCCACACAACTCGATCTCCGAGGTCTATGGAGAGAGACGGTGTTCATTATCACTTTGCTGACAAAAAAGTTATGGAGAAAGAAATTGAAGATGGAAAGTTTCTTGAGTTTGCTTCTGTTCACGGTAATCTCTATGGAACCAGCATTGAGTCTGTCGAGGTGGTAACAGATTCAGGAAAGGTATATCGTATATATAACAAAGCTTTTGGATTTACAGATGATACGTTTTTAATGTCATTGATTCTTAAACGACGAGTTTCTCTTTTGCTCTTTTGCTCCACACAGAGATGTATTCTTGACATTGATGTTCAAGGGGCAAGGTCTGTGAGAGCGAGTTCTCTCGATGCAGTGTTCATATTCGTATGCCCTCCTTCTATGAAAGAGCTTGAAGATCGGCTCCGTGCTAGGTAAAAACCAGGCTTTACAATATGAGTTATTGATATCTTTTGTTAGAATTTCCAGTAAGATTATTATCAATTTTATTGTCTTAAAATAACAGGGGAACTGAGACAGAGGAGCAAATTCAAAAGCGGCTAAGAAATGCTGAGGCAGAGATCAAAGAAGGGAAATCCTCCGGCATTTTTGGTCTTATTTTGTATAATGACAACCTCCAGGAGTGCTATAAGAAGCTCAAGGTGAACCACCTTTAGTTAATTGCTCAAAATGTTGTAATGTTCTGAATGCGTAACACTACCGGCTCTGTTTCCAGAAACTCTTGGGGCTAGATGGAGTCGCTCTTGTCAATGATGTAGAAAGTGAGAAACTGAACATTGTGCATATATTTCTTTTCCAAACCATAAAGTGAATATGGAAACTAATTGCTTTTTGTAATTTCATGATTCTGCAGCAGAAGGGATCAATCTTCCCACCAAGCACACTGTATCTAAACTGGAAGATAAGATCATTGTTCAAGAAACAGGTGAAGAAACAAGAAACAAGTAAGCAGCTAAGATGTAATGTTCTTATGTTTCTATGAGCTTGCTAAACTTATAATATGACCTTGTGTTAAATGATGGCATGCAGGGTTGTGTTGGATTTATCTTCGCTTAATGGAGGAGCACCGGGTAGAACAAGGGGGATTCTTGTCGAAGCCATTAAGTTTTAAGATGACAAAAGACAAAACTGTTATTTCATTCATTACATAGCCGTATTTCCTTGGATTAGATAAGACATTTAAAGAGTTATGATGATGCTGATGATGATAATTACTAAAGAGTTTGGGATGATATGATAATTACTAAAGAGTTTGGGATGATGATACTGTTGGTTGTAATTTGGATTGACAAGAATCGAATAATCAAAGTTGATTTTTTTTTTAAATGACTCAAAGATTAAGAAAAGAACAAGAATCAAATTCAAAAAAAGCAAAACTTGAATACATGACTCAAGATTTGGATGTACAAAAGGCTTGATCTTTGTCCTGTGTTGGGGAAAAGACAGCAGTTAGTGTCAGTTAACAGTTGAACTTTTAAAGGCAGCCTATGAAATTACAAAGAGGAAGACAAAAGAAAGAGACAGCCAAAGAACAAGTTGGGACTTTGGAGCAAAGTCTCTATGTGTCATGTCCTCTTCATCTTTATCTCTGCACCGCTCATATACCGCAACTGCTTTTGAATCTTAGGCTCAGGATCACTCTGGTGGGGACAAAGTCGGTCGGATTGTAGTATAAGGAAGGTTCGTGTAAGCCCACTAATGGTTCTGGTCCTGTGAACATGGTCCTGCTCCACTAGTACATTGTACAAACCCTTGTACAAAAGACTTTACACTGTGCCAAAACAAGCGCGTGGCGTGACGCGCAAGAAGAGTATCTAACAAAGCCCCCTTCTCTTATAGGGGTCTTCAAAAAGTTCAAAACCATTTAACTTCTTAGCGTAGCTTCTTACTTGATTATCATGGTGATATGTTGTTAATGAGTAAACATCATTCTTTAATTGGTCCATACAAAAATGCCCATGAACGCTTTGAGGCCCAATATCAGCTTTTCAGCAAAAGACACTTCCTTTCAGACTCAAAAGATCAAAGCTAAGACCTTACAAAAATAGAAACAAGAATCATCAGCCTTCACTACTACACTTGTTGTTAAATCAGATCCTCAAACTATACACACTTCATTCACTTAGAGCCTTTGTGGCTCGTACAACGATTGGCTAGACTCTGACGAGTTAGTTGGCGATGATCTTGCACAAGCAAAAGGCGGTGGTGGTGGATCAACAGACAATGTACCTTCCAAAACCTTCACCACTTCCCCCATTGATGGTCTTAACCGTTCATCCGCCTGAACACACCAAAACGAGATTCTCAAAACCCGCTCGAGCTCCTCTGCATCGAAATCTCCTTCTAATACTTTTTCCACAACGGTTTCTTTTCTCCCTTCAATCCATTCTCTATACACCCATTCACTTACAACTCCTTCTGGTTCGTATCTACCTGTTATTAGAGCTAAAACCGTCTTTCCAAAATCTTCAACGTCTTTATTTGCAGCGCATAAACCAAATCCATATTCTGTTAACTTAGCTTCCAAATCCTCCCCCAGCAGAATGTTTCCGCAGTTTAAGTTCCCATGACTGACGAATTCCCTGCATTCTGTGTGGAGGTAACAGAGAGCTTTAGCCACGCTTAAGCAGGTTTCGGTTCTTTTTCTCCAAGTTAGTTTCTTGCTTCGTAAAGGGTCAACAATGTGGTCGAGTATAGACCCGTTCTTAGCATATTCGTAAACTAGAAACCTCCTGCCTAGTTCGCAGCAATAACCCTCAAGCTTTGCTAGGTTCTTGTGATGCATTGTTCCTATCTTTGATGCAGAGCTCCTAAACTTCCTTTCTTCTGTCAATGTCGCTTCCATTTCTTTAACCCCAACAAGTTCATTCTCCGGCATAACCCCTTTGAATATCCCCGGTCCTATGTTATGGTCAAAGTTATCGGTCATGACCTTTATCTCATCAACAGAGAATATCATCACACCTTTTGGATTTGCAGCTTTAGAGAATCGATCAGCTTTCTTCTTAGCTATCTTCTTCTTCCTCTGGTAGATGTACACAACAATACCGAGCTGAATTCCGAGAAACAGAACAAGTGTAGTGGAAGTTGCGCCGACAAGACAAGGAAGACAGATACTGTGAGACTTGGTCACGGTCACAGGTGACTCTTTAGAAACGTTTGGATTAACAGCAATCGGGTCCAAACATGTTTTAACATATGATATTGAAGTCAAAGATGGATCAGAGTAACCACTGATATATCGCGTCAGCTTCATGCGACATTGAGGATTTCCATCGTTCGTGTAAGTGACTGCAGTACAAGCAGAATCTTCTAAACACATCTTCTTGCATATCTGGGAGCTAATCTGAGAAATAACCGAATCATTAGCCGGATAGATTCCATACAATTCCAAGTTCTTGAATTTCACCATGGAGAAACCAGATTTGCAGCTTGGCTTCTGATAAGGCACCAAGCATTTAGGATCCGAGACCGATACAAAAGCATTAAAAGGGCAGGTACACTCGGAGTTTCCAGAACTGTTAAAGGAACAAACTTGTGATCCACAAGTTGCGAAAACACGACACTGATTCTCAACGGCTTGCCAAACCGGTTTCCAAATCCCTGAATCCTCGTTCCACGAGTACATTCTCAGATTACCATCCCGGTCAAGCCTGAGGAAACGGAACTTGACAGTGTCGTTATGATCTTCCCCAAAAGCAGACCAAACAGGTGTCATCAGGTCTTGATCCTCAAGAAACAGAGCTCCCTCAGAAGTAAGCACAGCTCCAATCTTCTTCTTCTTCTTCAAAGCTTCGTTTCCGCTTGACCAGAATGTAATGTTACTCTCCCATCTCAGCTCTAACTTCCCTGAATCGTCCAAATGAAGACTGTAATAACTAGACCTAGAATTCTCACTAGCAGCTCTAAGCATCTCAAAAGATGGTAACTTTTGGTTTGGAAGCAAAGTATCAGCAGGGGTATCAAAGCTCTGCCAAACAATCTCTCCTCTGTCTTTCAACAACACAAGATTACCATCGTCACGAAGCAAAGCAGAGGACACAGAGAACCGGTTCGTCTTGCTGTTCCAAACCGGAACACCCAACGAAGAATCAAACAAAACCAATTCTCCGTTACGAGTGAGCTCGAAGTAAGAACTGTTGTCAGTAACGTACACACCTGCTCCAGCAACCCAAACAACCTTCCGCTGATCAGAAGGGATTGAATCGGAGTAAAACCGGATACCAACACTGAACCGGCTAGGCAAACCAGGTGGGTTGAAAAACCCTAGAGCAAAATCACCATTGTTGGATACCCACAAGGTGTTTTCACCAACAACGAGCTTAGAACCCAATTGAATCTCTGAAACCACGAATTGAAACGCAAAGAAGAAGACTAGAGAGAGACACAAAAGCAGAGGTCGAAGCATCTTTGTATCTGATTCAGAGATCCAACAACAGCACAAGATACAAGGAAAGAGACTCTGCTTTCATCTCAACATCATTACAAAATCCAAACCTGCGTTTCAAACAAACAAGAAAAATCCAAACTTTAAAAGGGTGAACCAAAAAAAAGAAGATTTATTTTTTTTATGAATAAGAACCTCAAGCACACAGCTCAACCAGGATTGGCACTTGAAGAAGCTCAAATTCAAACTTGGACCCACAGTAAAATCAAATCACCAAGTATCAACAAATTGACTGGAGCAATTCATTATTAATAGTGTTGTTGACAAAATAAAAAATTTGATATATTTTATCTGCCGGAGAAAAAGCTAACTGAGCCATCGAAGAAGAAATGTGAGAGGGTAATTACAGTAAAGATTGACCATTAAAAACAGAGACTTTTAAGCTTTATAAATATGGGACCCCAAGATTTATTGAGTTTTGAAGGAATTTTACAAAAGCTGTGAGTGGGTTACTATAAGAATCTTGAGAGAACGAAAGCTGTGAAAAAAATATATGAAGAGGAAGACAGTGAAGACGCACTAACTAACCAGTAGGTAGACGAAGAAGAAGAAGAAGCATGATGAGATTTGAAAGAGACGTTTTTTTCCCCCGAGTCGAGATCTTTCAAGGAGTTTGAGATGAATCTGATAATTTATTTTTAGAAACAAGATTTTTTGCTTCTCTTTCTCTTGGCCAATGGGAAAAGGAAGTGGTTTGTGTTTTACTTAGCGACGATACACAAATGAATAAACATTTTTCTTTATTTTGGGGTAAGGCTCTTTAATGGAACTCTGTCGTTTTCTTTTACGAGTTGTGTCTTTTAAAGAAGAGGATGCAAACAAAGAGAATGTATTTATTTTATGATTTTATTCCAACAACAGTTTAAAGAATCAAATACGAACACAGAAATCTTTTAAAAAAATCTTGATTTGTTTAAGTTTCATCTTGTGTGCAACGTGTTGGCCGACTCGATTGAATCAATGGATTTAGTGTTCATATTCTCTGTTCATTCACACTTGCAATCTTTAGTAGTAGCTGGACCCTCTGCCTTCATAATTAATCTGTAATCAACAAAATATGGATATAAAAGATGATAATAATGATACGATAAAGCACCAATAATTCAAGCAGAATAATAATATAACTAGGAAAGACCAACAGTTCTTTCTAATGATTTGATAATGGACTAAGAAGAAATCGACGGGATTCGTAATGTGATTCGCATAGGATCCCTATCCTAGTCCGGCGGTACGGAAACTAATGAATGAGTTTAGTTTTTTTCTATCTCAGGTTTCTAATTATTTGGTCGATCAATATATACTGTTTATTCGATCAATATATAAAAATCGAGAAGAAAACAAAAAACCTAACTATCATTGTTTATATATTTTGCTATCTAAAAAATAAAATAGTAAGAGAAATCCTAACATTTTTAAATAATTTAGGGAACAATTAGTATAACTGAGAAAATATGAAAGTTGGGGGGGGGGGGGTACTAAAAATAAGAAAGTCAAATTTGTAATAATAGTATAGTATAGTATGAAGAAGGGGTGGACACTGGACAGCTTTAGGGCAGGGTTTGACGAGTTTGCTTTGCCTCGATTGAAGAATGTCGGGCCCTATACGTCTAGCACGTGTGTCTCTCAGTATTCACTTTCCTTATCTTTTTGTCAACTTTGTAGTTTTGTAGTATAAAAATCTTAACGTTCGATCGAGTATTAATATATATAAAAAAAACACTCACTTGTTGACGTTTTTCTGGGCCAATACAGTTAAAGTAATCGGCTAGATAGATGGTTGATACTTCAATTACAAACACGTATCCGAGTTCAAAACGAGTATAGTATTAGTAGATAAGGAATCAACATGTTTGCTTCCTTGTTTTTTATATAATTTTTG